ATCAGTTTTAGGAAAGGGTACGGAAGAAAGTTGAGGATCTGGAACCATTTCTGTATATATATCCCTTGGAAAACCTTTTTGGGCTACCCCTGTTTGATGGCCACTGCCCAGAGGTTTCTTGAAGGTGCCTCAGAGGCTCTCCAAGAAGGGGGAAAGAGAAAGGGATCTCAGGACCATTCCTACTGCTTCATCTGGAGCAGAAGCATTTTTTTCTTCCAGAAGGGCATTTTTTCTTTTTAGTCATTGTCATCTACTCCTCCCCCTCCTCCTAAATTCTGTTTTACATTTAAACTTTTTATTTGAAGGAAGGGCTTTGCTGCTAAAAATAAGTGTGAAAAACACAGCTTCCATGGGGAACCATTTAAGGATTTTAAGCAGGAAAGTGACATAATTAGGTTTTTGCTTGAAAAGGTCACTTTGGCATCTGAACACATTGTGGAGGCTAGGAGGGAGGCAAACTGGATATCCAGAGACTTGAAATGGTCCAAAGGAAAAATTATCAAAACTGGCAACTCTGGGCTCCATCCCAGAGTGGCAGCATCTACTTTAGATGGAGCAGGGGCTTCTGGGATTGCCAGTTCCCACCCAGTGCCCTCTCCATTTGCCTAGTTCCTGAGGATCTTGTCCCTGTCCTCTACCTTTGGGACCCCTGCCTTAAAGTAATCTTTGATTCATTGCTCTTCATCTTGCAGATGTGATCTATCACCAAGGCTCATTTCTTCCTTTAAGTTATTTGAGTTTTGTTTCTTCCTCTATTTCCATCCCATCAGCCTACATTAGGCACTATTTCATGATTAGATTTCTCTAGTAACTCTTACCTCTTCTTCCTGCTTTCAGTTTACCTGCCAATCAGTCCCTCGTTGCAGTTGCATAACTACTCTATTTTTCATATTACAGCACACGCAGAAATAGTTTTGTTTTGTCAAAATTTTGCTTCAGATTTCTTTCCCTCTCCCCAGTTTTCATCTTCTCTAGAAAATTCCAAGCAAAATAGAAGGTTAAAATAGTGATGGATGGGGGCTGGGGCTGGTGCTCAGTGGTACACTTGCCTGGCATGTGTGAGGCACTGGGTTCGATTCTTAGCAGCACATATAAATAACTAAAGGTCTATCAACAACTAAAAATACATATATATTTTTAAAAATGTGATGGATACTTTTCCATTCTCTGGAAGCTGTAGGTACCGTGTTTACCTTTTTCTGGTGAGTTATTTGAAAATTTGTCAGGACTTAAAAGGTGAGGGAACCCATTGGCACTTCCCTCTCGACACTTCTCAGGGAAAGATTTTGTGAAGAAAGTGGAATTTTAAGTGGAGTAGAGCAGAGCCTATAACAGAGAATATTACATTAGAGATTTTATACTATCTGATGTTCCTCAGAGGTGGCAAATAAATACTGGGGTTGGTAATGATGGTGAAGGGTGACAGTGGGAACACAGGGAAGCAGTCTATGAACTTGGGAAGAAAAGTCATTGGAACACTCACAGAGATGTTGGTCCAGCCTGGATAAATAGACAGGCAAAATACCATTCACCTGGAGGTTGAATCATCAAGAATATATGTGTATATTGTTTCTCCTCCTGACAATTATTAAATTCCTTTTGAAAGAGTCACTGACAGTCTATGATGCATTTTCCAATGGAAAACCATTCATCTGGAGTGTGTTTTCAATAAAGCCGATGTTTCTGGCTCCCGTTCATCTTTATTACACATATGTAGACAGGTAAGGTGGAAACTGAAAATATTTTGAATTTAAAATCTTCTTTCTTTTTTGGTGGTGCTGGGGATTGAATCTAGGGTCTTGCACATGCTAAGCTTGCATTGCACCCTCAAGCCCTTAAAAACTTTTTTAGCTCCTCCAAAGAAAGAGATGTATGAATTCAGAGTAAAAACCCTTGGTGCCTTTACAATCATAGCAGCTTTTTGAGGGTGTTGGGAAGGTGAAGTGGACTCAAGATCTGTGTGCTATGTGGTTCTGGAAGGGAGCAGGAAGTGGAGAATAGTGGTGCAGGAACCACAATGGTTTGACCTGCTTTCAGGATTCCCTCTCTCCCTTGCTGGGGCAAGGGAGAGAAATACAGTAATATAGAATTATAATATCTTTCCTTGCCTTCTCTACACTTTACTGATCTTCTCTTTTCACACTGCTGCCTCCTCTTCCTTAATGAAATGTGTCATGTAAAATGTACCTTTCATGACTTATTTGATCTTACTTTTCATGGCTATTCTCTGCCCTCTGTTGGTAGGTTCTCTTGGACCTGTCTGTTTTATTCTCTCACACCTGTGTGATGAGGGCAACTGCATATAGTTAAAGTCTTTTTCTGTAAGTCTAACTGATCAAGTGGAGACAAGACTGGATGATGTTTTGTTTCTCTGGAATCCTGCGGGGATGGGAGGCACAGTCTGGTGTAGAGTAAACCCAAGGATCCAGATTTAGTTGTGAAATCAGGTCACTTATAAAACTGTTCACTGCTGTCAGTTTGGGGCATCAGGGACAACCTACCATGGAGAAGATTAATATGAGCCTGAATCCCATGGTGGTTCCAGAAGTCTGCTAAAGTCTTGAGTGTGGCTGGGATTAGGATTTCTTTCTGCTAAAGAATATGACAGCTTAGAAACTACAACAACTTCTAACAGCTAGCCAATTTGATGCTTTGCAGTTTGGTTATGGATCAGAACCAATCCAGAAATATGAATCAGTGTTTGGGTTGACTCTGTCCAGAAGACATTACAGGTGATACCTGTGGATTGTAGGAAACCATAATGACCCTACAGAAAGGATGCTGGGACCCTAGCTGGGTGCTTCTTAGGCCAGTAGAGTCTATTTTCTCACACTTTGTATGTGCTGTTCTATGGCTTCCTTTTCTCCTGGGTTTGAGGCAGCAGACATTGTCATTGGGGGCTTGCCTTTGATCTCTGCGCCCTAGAGATTCCAACAGTATGTTCCTCAAAGGAAAAGGTTATATCATTCTGCTTTCTTTATATTCACCCCTACAGATTGTGCACTGTTTCCAGAGTTCAATAAATAAATATAATATCAAAGAATAAAATGGCATTGTCCTTAATATCCTTCCCCAAACCACTAGGTGTCGCCTTCATCTCAGAGAAACTGCCCCTCCTCAGTTTACACTCCCACCCCTCCCTCTGCTCAGGAGCTCTTAGCTTCTTGGCACTGTGATTTCTGAAGTGGCTTGAAGCAGAAGAGAAACGGTGGCTCTCAGCAGGGAAAAGAATGGGCTTATGTGCATTTCCTTTGTGACAGTTTGAGAAAACTCCCCAAGGTCCCATAGCAGTTCCCCCTGCAACCATGATGTCATCTCTCACAAGCTGTTCCCCAGGATGGGATCAGCACTCCAGATGTGGGTACTTGGGTGAACTTTCTAGGTTGGAAGCTTGAGGGGGGCGGGGCAGGAGAAGGAGGAGTACAATGGACTTCTTTGCTGGGGCCAGCTGGCTTAGTCATTCTATAAGCATCCATCAGGTGCTAGCCTCTGCTGTACCGGGAGACAAAAGAAAGAAGAGGCCTCAGAGCAGATGGCTAGTGGAAGCTGGTGGGCTATGGCTGACCTCTGAGGACATGTGGAGGGCACAATAGGGACCGTGGTGTCAGGAAGAGGGTGAGTGGAGGGTTGAGTCCCCAAGAAGGAGACTCATGGGCTTCATAAGGTCTCATGAAGAACGGAAGGTGAGAGCCCCTTGGTGCCTGAGGGACCTGTCTTCCAGGGAGCAGGCTTGTCTTCCTATTGAAGGAATGACAGGTCTCTGTCTTTAGGAAGGTGGTATGGTTTTCTACAAAGGGGACTGGCGAGGATACCATAAGTTTGGGGATTCTTGACTGCTTCCTGCAGATTGTAGCGAGCGAGGGACTCAGGGAGTTAAAGAGAAGGCACCTTAAGAAGAGCAAGGTAAGAGAGGAGGGGCAAGACGGCCATGGGGTCGCCCGTGAGATGGAAAGAGAGCGGCAGGGTGGACCAGGGGCTTGCGGGAGGCCCTTAGAGCATGGGGACGCCCGGGAACCTCGCTGGCCTGAGAGGCGCTGGTGCGGAGCCCCCAAGCGCTCACTGGGTGGGTTGGAGAACTGGGAGGTCCCTGGGCGCCGGGTGGGGGGTGGGGGGAGACAGCAGGCGCCGGAGGGTGGGGCCGGGAGGGGGAGGGGCGGCGGGGCGGGGGCAGGCGGCCTGCCCGGGGAGTCACACTCGGCCGCCGCTGCCGGCGCAGCGAGCGGAGACGCGCCGGGCCGAGGCGACCTGACCTGGACGAGCGGCGCGCGCGGGGGCCCAGGCGGGGGGCGGGAGGAAGCGCCGGGCAGCGCCGGCCGCCGGGGCCCAGGAAAAGCGGAGCGGAGAGGAGCGGGGACACGGGCGGGGCCGCCGCAGCTCCGGATGGGACCAGCGTCCGGGCCCGTTAGTCCAAGCTGGAGCTTCTGGAGAAGCCTTCACAGGGAGATTTACCCCTGCCTTTCCCTCCCCTCCGGCCCAGGCCTCGCTTCGCTGCCCGCCTGCCCATGTCCCAGTCCTTCCGCGGCGCGGGCGCCCTCCCACCTTAGCCCCTTGGTCCTGTTTTTCGCAGCTCCCTGCCCTCCCAGCCCCTTAAACTGTGAGGTGCCCCCAGGCCGTTTCTTTGTACCCCCTTCCCCCCACCCCCCACCCCATCCCAAGCTCAGATCCCCTTCTCTTTCTCGGCTTTGGATTCGTCAGGCCACTTCACCCTCACTGTCCCCATCCCGGTCGCAGGCCCCCTTGGTCCCTCTCTCCTCCTGCCACCCTACGCTTAGTCTTAGGTCCTTCCCCTAGGCTGGTAGCCCACTCCTTCCCCACCCCAAGGCTTTCTCCCATCTTCTCTCCCGGTCCTCAGCAATTTGTGTATCCAGACCGACTTAGCTTGTCCCTGTTTCTCTTCCTGGCCCTCTTTCCCAGGCGCCAGGCTGGGTGGCGCTTGTGCCTGCCCGGTAGGCCAGAGTGGCCCCAGGTTCTGGGGGCGGTGGGGCTGCTGCTTTATCCCCATGGCACTGCCATCATTGCTGCTGGTGGTGGCAGCCCTGGCAGGTGGGGTGCGTCCTCCTGGGGCTCGGAATCTGACGCTAGCGGTGGTGCTGCCAGAACACAACCTGAGCTATGCTTGGGCCTGGCCACGGGTGGGTCCTGCTGTTGCACTAGCTGTGGAGGCCCTGGGCCGGGCACTGCCCGTGGACCTGCGATTTGTCAGCTCTGAACTAGATGGCGCCTGCTCTGAGTACCTGGCACCTCTGAGCGCTGTGGACCTTAAGCTGTACCATGACCCTGACCTTCTGTTGGGCCCTGGTTGTGTGTACCCCGCTGCCTCTGTGGCTCGCTTTGCCTCACACTGGCGCCTTCCCCTGCTGACTGCTGGTGCAGTGGCCTCTGGTTTTGCGGCTAAGAATGAGCATTATCGTACCCTGGTTCGCACTGGCCCCTCTGCTCCCAAACTGGGTGAGTTCGTACTGACACTACATGGGCACTTCAATTGGACTGCCCGTGCCACCTTGCTGTATCTGGATGCCCGCACAGATGACCGGCCTCACTACTTCACCATCGAGGGCGTCTTTGAGGCCCTGCTGGGCAGCAACCTCAGTGTGCAGCACCAGGTGTATGCCCGGGAGCCAGGGGGCCCTGAGCAGGCCACCCACTTCATCCGGGCCAACGGGCGCAGTGAGTGTGGCCCGGGCTGTTTTAGGGTCGGGGGAGGAGGGTCACTGTGTTTGTGAAGCTCAGCACTGGGTAGCTGAAGATGGAACTAGGCAAGGAGAAGCTATGTGTGATGGTTGGAAAGGAGAAATGATTGTGGACAGAGCACCTGGGAGAGGGCTCCGGAGTTAGAAGAGAGATTCCTAGTTGTCATAGGCAGAGGGGTTCATGGTCATCATAGGCAAATGTAAACAATAGGAGTACAAAAAAGTGAAGCTTGTCTTGGTAGAATGTGGGCCTGGGGGATGTTGAGTTTGGGGAAGCAATGTGGGGGCCCTAAAGTACTGGATGTGTTGATGACCACTCTGCAGCCTGTGCCTCTTTGTGAACACAGAATGCACACCCCGTCTTTCCCCACCAGACTGGGGCTCTGGGACCCTTTGGTGGTGTACAAATAGAGAGAACTCCTTAAATGGGTTCAGGGCTCAGCAGATATGGTTGGGAAAGGCAGATAAATCTCACTTTGAGAAATTCTGAGCAGCCAGCGTCTTCAAGCCTAGGGAAAGGCAGGGAAGAGGAGCAGCAGGCAAGGCTCTGGGGAAAGGTCTGGGTTGAGTGATCACTCCTTTTTTCTAGGGTCTGGAGTCAGGCTCTGACTTCTGCCAGATGGTCCATATGGCCTCAGGGCACTTATGACATGGGTTTCATGGGGGAAGATGGGGAACATCTGCTGGGTGGTCGATAGGTAGGGCACTCTCTTGCTAAAGAGGGACTTGCAGATGATTGAGAGAGGGGATCATGTGGGGGACTGAATGCTTTCTCAGGGTGCTCCTCTGTCATATGCCTGCTCCCAGTTGTGTATATCTGCGGCCCTCTGGAGATGTTGCATGAGATCCTGCTTCAGGCCCAGAGAGAGAACCTGACCAATGGAGACTATGTCTTCTTTTACGTGGATGTCTTTGGGGAGAGTCTCCGTGCGGGCCCCACACGCTCTACAGGTCGGCCCTGGCAGGACAATCGCACCCAGGAACAGGCCCAGGCCCTCAGACAGGCCTTTCAGGTATCATTTGAGCCCTATCTGAAGGAGGAGGGGAAGAGGTACTTGGATGGGGATTATCTGTTTCTCACACGACCCCACAGAAACTCCAGAAGCAGAGCACAAGTTCTGAGCTACAGAAGTGAAAGGAACAGGCTTTCAAAGTCTAGTATCTGTCTTTCCTCCTTCCCCAGCTTTGTGACTTTTGTTGTGTCTGTCAAAGATCCCAAAAACACTGATTTTTCTAAGTGCCAGTAGTAGGCTACACTGTGTGTGGGGGGGGAAAGTTCAGAAAAAGATCTGAGCCAAACCCCCAGGAGGCCTTCCACTCTTTCTGGAGAGGCAATGAATAATTGTAAACTGTTAGAAAAAAATTCAAAAAAGGGTATGAGTATGTGCCTGAAACAGACAATGAGAGCTTCAGTGGTTCAATGTGGGCAGGGTTTAGGGAAGGCTTTTTATAATGGAAGTGAGACTTCATTGTGATTTTAATGATAGATGCCATGTTCACAGAGTGGAAAAGGGGATCCAGGCTGCCTGGGCAAAAAGAAAGATAGGCATGGGTATGTTTAGGGGACCTGGAAAATACTGGAGTATTCTTCTTGTCAGCAAGAAAGAAGGGCTTACTTAAAGCAGAAATAGGAAATAAAGTTGCAAAAGTATAATCAGATTAAACAGGGCTCTAAACTTTAAGCAGTAGGGCTTGAATTTGGGGTCTTTGACATTTGTTTGTGAAGTTAAATTTAGTGACAGAATTCAGGTTGCATTAGATGAGAAGGAGACCAGGCAGTGAGACCAACTACTAGGTTAGAAAGGAATGAGGTGATTGAACAAGGATGATGATAGTAGGAATGGAAAGAAAGGAATTTAAGAATTTGTAGAGAAGGTTCACGTGACAGTTCATTTCCCTCCTCAGCTCCAAACTTTCAATGACTTGTTACCTCAGAATAAAATCCTGACTGCTCATCATGACATCAGAACATATATAGTATGTTCTTAACCCACTGTTTCTACTCACCTCCCTTGTCCTCAGGCCCAGAACTCCAGCTGAGTAGCTGTGCTCTTTCCGTCATCCCAAATCCCTTCCTTGCAAAACCATGCGGGGGTGGTGGGGTGGTGGTGGTGGGAGTAGGGGGGCCGGGGTTGTGGCTCAGTGGTAGAGCGCTTGCCTAGTACACATGAGGCACTGGGTTCGATCCTTAGAACCACATAAATGTAAAATAAAGACATTGTGTCCACCTAAAACTAAAAAATAAATATTAAAAAAAAACACCCATGAATCCTCAGACCCATAAATCTTTCCCTGGTTCCCTCACTAATTTTTTCTCTGAATCATTTATATAAGTGTTTCATATTTATTTATCCATATCCCTTGTTTTTCCCCAAAAGAATTTGAGGTGGTTTATGGGATACCTTGAGGTCCTTTTCAACCCTGAGATTCTTTGGTTCTAAGTAGACATGTATAAGGGCTGGACCTGGGTGGCCATTCTTCTCCAGTGAGTAAGGTTTTATGTGGCTGTGATTATATATTTGGTTGTGACTGACGAGTGTCTGACTGTGAATGACATATCTGTTTGCATGCCTGAGTAGGAGTCTGTGACTGTCACACTTGAACATGGCAATGGCAGACAGGTTTTATTTATGCTATAATTTTTTCCTAAAACAGCCTTCTCACCTTTTGTGTCTGGATAATGCTTCCATATTTTTTAAGACTCAGACCATTTTTTTTCCTTTCTAGGAAACAATCTTTAAATCTTCAGGTTTCCTACCCTTTGCTTAACTCTATCATAGAAATTTTTCTGTGATTTGTTTGAAGACTGACTCATTTTACTAGTATTACTGAGCATCTTTTATGCCCCAGTGATTGTACTGGTATTTGGTAGAGAACATAATAGATATATTTTTGGAGTTTACATTTAATAGGAGAGACAGACACAAATATAAGAAAATATAGGAACATATTGTGATTAGTGTTGCCAGATGGGGAGGTGAGTGGATAAGAAAGAAAAAGGAAGATAATAGATGGTATGAGAAGAGAACAATGAGGGGATTATGGTCAAGGAAGTTCTGTTACTCTCCCAGATGAGCTGTGTTCTTTTTGTGGGAAAAAAACACCTCTTTCTTATATGAGAATTTCTGCCAGCTAAGAGTTCCCAGCACTTAGAATAGGGACCTAATCAACTAACAATCAATTATATCAATCAATCCTCTGTTCTCCCCTCAATTCAGGTCTTATTGAAATAGGAAAATAGAGAAATATTTTGCTACAACAGAAAGAGAAGGGAAGTAGGTGGTGAAGAATATGCTGAGGGAAATCAGGGTATAGTGATGTGCTCCTGTAATCCCAGGTTCTTGGTAGGCTGAGGCAGGAGGAATCATGAGTTCGAGGCCAGCTCTGGCAACTTAGCAAGACCCTCTGTTAACCAAATCAAACCAAAACAAAACCAAAGAATATGCTCAGGGGAAATCCAAGGTGTGGTATAGGGTAGGATGGGTTGAGGGGTGGTGAGGTTCCCTCTGGCAAAGCTTCTTTCAATTCTTTCCCAGTGCTTACACAGAACAGAGAACAGGGAAGTTGGGTGGCCAGCTCCAGCCAAGGATGAAAAAACAGAGCCCTTCTTCCAGAGTCACTGGCCTACTGGAGTCCTAGTCCAGGCTGGCCTGGAAAAGATGATAGGTGAGGCAAGGTGGCCCTGGTGTAAGTGTCTGAAGCCTTTTCAGGATGGTATCATACTTAAGACAAAGTGCCAGCACAGACTGGATACCAGCCACTGGGGGAGAGGGCTCTGAGATTAAATATGTTGATATGATTTTTTTTCTCCCATTTAGTCATAGCAGTTCATGGTCAGAGATCACACTCATATTTGCATTCCACATGTCTAATATGTAATAGGCATTTAATACATATTTGTTGAATTGAATTAAAGTGTGTGTTTTGGGGCAGGGATGAGACTAAAGAATTCGTTCAGAAAGGAGTAGAGCTTGGTACTATAAACCAAGGTGATCAACCAGGAGAGGGAAGAAAAGTAGATGAGTAAAACTAAATAAGCAAATGAGTAGGGTCTGAGGATCCAGAGGCCCAGGCTGGACAAGTGGGGATGACAGGGTTAGATACCCAGGCAGAGGGGCTGGGGTGTAGCTCAGTGGTAGAGTGCTTGCCTAGCACGTGTGAGGCACTGGGTTGAATCCTCAGCATCACATAAAAATAAATAAATAAAATAAAGGTATTACATTCATTTACAACCAAAAAATAATAAAAAAAAGAAACCCAAGCAGAGAATGGTTTGACCAGCCTGAGACTGGTTTACAGATGGGGAATACCTGCAAGCAAGAATGGAGGAAAGCACTAAATCAACAGTTAAAGCAGACCATCTTCTTGGAGACCATTTGTTGTCTCCTCAGGCTACTGTTGACAGAACCTCCTGCTGTGGCCAGAGCAGGTCGCAGAGTGGGTGGCACAGGCGGAGGCAGGCACCTCTGGCCATGCACATTTCCTAGGTGCAATGTGCACTCCTGGCTACCACTCACCACTGAATCCATGTTTGGCCATCTTTGCTTGTTTTTTTCCACCTGGGGTCCACTGTGAAATGGGACTCATTTACCTACCTTCACCTTCTCTCTAGCCCCTGAGCAAGCACAGAAACTGTTTGGAGTTGTTTTTTTTTAGAAGCTAGTTAGTGACCACAGCAAAACAGTCTAACAGTCGTTTTCAAAGTGTGGTCTTTGGGATCCTGGGGGGCCCTGAAATCCTTTTAGGGGAACTATGAGGTTAAAACTATTTAAAAAAATAATACTAAGATGTTATTTGCCTTTGTCACTCGCAGTCTGGTTATACAGTGGAGTTTTCCAACTTGTGATGACATCATGTTTCTGACAGCCATGGAAGGCATGCTTCTGCATTCTTATATCTTCAAAATCTATCAGTTTTAATTTCTAATATGGAAAATACTGATAGATAAAACCCATATGAAGTTCTTTGGGATCATAATTTTTTATTTTATATTTTTAGTTATTGATAGACGTTTATTTACTTACACGTGGTGCTGAGAATTGAACCCAGTGCCGCACACGTGCCAGGCAAGTGCGCTATCACTGAGCCCCAGCCCCAGCCTGTTTTTAAAAAATAGTTTTAAAAACTATTTATTTTTTATTTGTAGTTGGACACAATATTGTTATTTTATTTTTTTATTCTTATGTGGTGCAGAGGATCGAACTCAGGGCCTTGCACGTGCTAGGTGAGCGCTCTACCGCTAAGCCACAACCCCATCCCTGGGATCATAATTTTTAAGACTATAAAGGCATGCTGAGACCAAAAATTTCAATTATTGCTAGCCTAGCAAACAAACCAACCTAGAGAATTACTAAGTGTTAAAAAAAAAGTGTTAAAAACCTCTCATGGCCTTTATTGAAATATAAATTATGTAAACCTGGTCTTTTCCTTCTTTTTTTTAATACTATTTATCAATAATGTCCTACCTCTTTATTGTTCTTTTATTCTTGGAACAGTTGTTAATGAATAAACCCCATTCCCCCGCCACATTATTATTATTATTATTATTATTATTATGCCTGAGTGGGAGAATATTAGAGCATCTAACTTCTTTAGCAAAAATAATTACATCTTTTTTTCCTTCTTTCATTCTTTCTTCATTCCTTTTTTATTGCTTCCTTTTTTATGAACGCAAGCAAGCAAGCAAGAAACTTGACTCTTCTCTGTTTTTTTTTTCTTTCTGGTTTGGCTTTTTAATATTGTTGTTTTTAAAGAATAATTACATCTTGAAGCAAACTCCAATTTAATATAGTGAATGCATATTAGAAGTTGGCTTCAGTCAGGAATGGTGGTGTGTGCCTTATATAATCAAAGTGACATAGGAGGCTGAGGCAGGATTGCAAGTTCAAGGCCAGCCTCAGCAATTTAGCCAGTCCCCAAACAACTTAGTGAGATCTTGTCTCAAAAATGAAAAAAATGAAAAGGGCTGGGGATATAGCTCAGTGGTAAAGAAAGAAAGCAAGAAATTGACTTCATTATTTCCTACCTGGAATGAATTTATGGATTGTAGATCATATGTGATATATCTAGTACCTCTGTGATCCACATGTACTTTCTACAAGAATGAATAGAACTTAAAAAAAAATTAATTGTAGATGGACACAATACCTTTTTTTAAACATTTATTTTTTAAGTTATAGGTGGACACAATATCATCTTTATTTTATTTTTATGTGGTGCTGAGGATTGAACCCAGTGCCTCACGCATACTAGGCAAACGCTCTACCTCTGAACTACAACCCCAGCCCACAATACCTTATTTTATTTATTTATTTTTATGCAGCACTGAGGATTGAACCCAGGGCCTCACATGTGATAGACAAGTGCTTAACCACTGGACTACAACCTCATCCCCAAAATGAACAAAACTTTTTTTTTTTTAAATATTTTTAGTTGTAGATGGACACAATACCTTTATTTATTTTTTATATGGTGCTGAGGATAGAACCCAGGGCCTCACACATGTGAGACAAGTGCTCTACCACTGAGCCACAACCCTAGCCCCTGAACAAAACTTTTAATGACTAGATTTTAATCTATCATTTCACAAAGCTAGGTTCATAAAGTATATTGAATTGAAGTCTTCCCTTGAAGTTATAAGACCTATTTCCTGTCTGAGCAGAGGCCAGTCTCAGTGACAGTATGACCTGAATCTGAGAGGTCCAGCAGCTAAAGAAGGGGAAACGTGAAGTTTAGAGAGCCAGGCATGCACTTCATGGGTTAAAGGGAGCCTGGCAGGTGAGCATGAAGAGACACCTTTGAGTCATGTGCCAGTGTGGGCAAGGCTTCACATATCATTTGCTTATCTATGCAATGTGTGTGGGCATGTGACTTGTGAGTTTGTCCCTGTGACACGTCTGCTATTTATTTAGTAAGCAGGACAATGCTGCTTATGGTAGGTGTTCCATACATGTGGAATGACTGAACTCACAACTTTTCACAGGTAGAATTTCTGTCTCGAAGTATTTCCCACAGTTGCCATAGGGGTTGAAATCTCTTTAATTCACTGTGTGGAGGCACTGTGTGCAAGTGACCCACATGAAAATGTCAACTTCGAACCAATAACATTAAACAGTAATTAACACTTTGGAGAGGAGTTGTTGATGAGTGTTGTCCTTGATAGATATTGGTACTTGGAAAAGATGGGATGGAGGGCTTCTGTGAGAGCTGTGGTAGCCCAGCCTGGGAGGCCTGGTGGTGGTAGGGAGTTCAGGAAGATGATGGGCTTGGTTTGGGAATGGAGTTAGCTTCTTCTGTTGCTTCCCAGTCTTACTTTCCCATCCTTGTCTGCCTTTCATGGAGGGGTGCCACTCCCCTCACCCATATCTCACCTCCACATAGTTTCGTGCCCTTTTTAGCCTTTGCACTCTCCTGTGTATATTTAATATCGTGTATTTTACCAAGTTTCCCTATTCTGCTTCTCTCTTCCCCTCATGCTCACTTTGAATCCTGTATACTCTTTCCTGTGTGCTGCTGGTAGACTGTATTGGTGATTACATATCGAGAACCCCCAAATCCTGAATATCAGGAATTCCAGAATCGGCTGCTGATCAGAGCCCGGGAAGATTTTGGTGTGGAGCTGGCTCCATCCCTGGTAAGTAGATAGATCTCTCTCTCCTTGAGAGTCAGGCAGACTGGGAGAAAGGGCTCCCTCCTTAACTCAGCATCAAGTCTTGGCCATGGAGTAAGCCGCACTTGGGGGCTATCCATGTCTATCCAAGATATTTCTTTTTGCTGTAGGGACCAGTTAGGTAGGGATGGTACTTTAGGAATGAGAGGAGGGAAGAAAGTAAACCAGAAGGGAGAAGAGGTAGAAGGATATTCCAGGGCTGGGAAAGGTGGCTGGGAAAGGGCCCTTGCAGGACACTTGGAGAGCACTGCTGAAGTTGCCACCCCCAGATGAACCTCATTGCTGGCTGCTTCTATGATGGGATCCTGCTCTATGCTGAAGTCCTGAATGAGACAATACAGGAAGGAGGCACCCGAAAAGATGGACTTCGAATTGTGGAGAAGATGCAGGGACGAAGATATCACGGTAATAAAAAGGGGCAGATGGAGGCCTGAGGGTTGATAGCAGGCTCAGGAGTGGAGTGGGCAGAAGAAACACATCAGGCTCCACAGGGAGTCAGTAGGGTTTGGGATCTTGGCTGAGGTAGACACACTTCAAGAACAGGGGCAGGCTCAGACTCTGCAGCAGCAGGGCAGAGTTGGGGGACAGGATAGGGGCCTAGGGTAGATCTCAAAGTGAGAGGTACTCTTTTTTATCCTAGGTGTCACTGGACTGGTTGTTATGGACAAGAACAATGACCGGGAGACTGATTTTGTTCTGTGGGCCATGGGAGACTTGGATTCTGGGGACTTTCAGGTGATGGGGGAGGAGGCAAGGAAGAGAGTACAGTCCTGTAAAATCCAGCTTTCAAGTGTTTGGTGGGGGCAGAATCAAAGGTCCTAGGGGCAGGGACTTATTTTTGCTGCCAGAGCTGTACCCTGGCTGGGAGAGAAGCAGCAAAATAGCTGGGGTCTGGGGGAGGAGGCTGGCGGGAGCAGGCCTGTGGGCCCAGTGTTCTGCTTCCTCACAGCCTGCAGCCCACTACTCAGGAGCTGAGAAGCAGATTTGGTGGACAGGACGGCCTATTCCCTGGGTGAAGGGGGCCCCCCCCCTTGGACAATCCCCCCTGTGCCTTTGACTTGGACGACCCATCCTGTGATAAAAGTGGGTGTGTGCAGGGACTGGGAGCAATTCTTCCTCCCTTTACTTTCCATTCTTTACTTCCACCCTTGCTGACTCCCTGCTCTTAGCTCTAATTTTATCTCTATATCCGTTGCCCTACCTCCTTACCTCTCCCTCAGGAAATCTGTCTACTCCTTGTACCTGTGCCTCTCCCTTCCCCATTCTTACAGCCTCCCACCCAGTCTTTCTCAGGGTCTCTCTCTCCCCTTCAGCTCCACTTTCTACTCTGGCAATTGTGGCTCTGGGCACAGGAATCACCTTCATCATGTTTGGTGTTTCCAGCTTCCTAATTTTCCGGTGAGTTCTGGGCTTTCCACCGACCTGTTTCTTACCTCCCCATTGCCACAGGGTCTCTGGCTGAGGCCAGGGGTTCCTGTAACGTGAGTTAGGGGCAGCAGATCACCTAATCTGGTGATTGTCTCAGACTTAGTGACATCTTCCTCTTTTACCTTTCTCTTTGGTTGTCTTTCAGCCTAGGTGTTTGTTCTACTTTTGGTTCTAGCCTGGGTTACTAAGTAGTGATTTTGAGTGGGGTTAAGGTCAAAGATGACTTTTCTATGGATGGTACCATTTTAAGAACGAACTTGCATCTCCAACCTCTAAGTTTGTGAGTACATATAGGCATGTGCCAGACTTGTAGAGAATATGTACTTATTTTCTAGTCCTGTTCTGTGTCCCCAGTGTAACAACTGTAGCTTTAGGAGCTGCAGGGAAGCCCCTGCAACCCTACTGTTGGCTTGGGGGGCACAGGATCGGGCTTGCCAGTCAACTGAGTGTACAGTCCTTACAGAAAACTAATGCTGGAGAAGGAGCTGGCTAGCATGCTGTGGCGCATTCGCTGGGAAGAACTGCAGTTTGGCAACTCAGAGCGTTATCATAAAGGTGCAGGCAGTCGCCTCACACTGTCACTGGTGAGTCCTTGTCTCTGTTGTTCCTGCTGCCTCCCTCTGAGTTCCTGTCCTTTCCACCCTGGACCTTTCCCAGCACATTGGCCTATAATGATAGCTCCTGCACTACCACCATCATCTAATGTTCCTTTCATCCTTCCGCCTCCATGTTGCCCTTGGCCCCAGCGGGGATCCAGTTACGGCTCGCTCATGACAGCCCATGGGAAATACCAGATCTTTGCCAACACCGGTCACTTCAAGGTGAACAGTCATCTGCTTGTTCTGGTCCCCACCATTTCATCCTGTCTCATCCCATCTGCCACCTCTGCCCCTTAACCTCTTCCCCTCATAACCCCTTCTAAACCCAGCTGGTCTCCTGGATGCTCTCACGGTTCTTCAGTATTTCCTAGCACCAAGAAACTCCTTCTGATACTTACTTTCCTTTTCACTTTCCACCCTCACTATCAGGGAAATGTTGTCGCCATTAAACACGTGAATAAGAAGCGCATTGAGCTGACGCGGCAGGTTCTGTTTGAACTCAAACATGTATGTAATGCTGAATGGGTTGAGGGTGAGGGATAAAAAGGGAGGGGGAAAGGATAGGGGGAGACTATGGAATACTAACATTGCCTAGGAGGACAAGGGGTTTATTTATAGTTGATTTTAAGTTGTAGGTATAACTAAGAGAAAGGTCCTCTTATAGTGGGAGGTTTCTATATCTGATTTTTAGCTCTTTCAATTCTCCTTCCCATTTTTTCTAGATGAGAGACGTCCAGTTCAACCATCTTACTCGCTTCATTGGAGCATGCATAGACCCTCCCAACATTTGTATTGTCACTGAGTACTGTCCTCGTGGGAGTCTACAGGTGAAGGATGGGTGTAGGGGATAATGGTGTGTGTGTGTGGGTGGGGGGATTCCCCAAAGTTACATTGACTTTGTGCCAAATGATAGCCACTGGGACTGGGACAGACACATTATAAATCTATTCCATGTCACTTACCAGGATATTCTAGAAAATGACAGCATCAACTTGGACTGGATGTTTCGTTATTCACTTATTAATGACCTTGTTAAGGTGAGTCTCTCCCACTCCTTAAGAGCTTATCCTCTTTTAAATACCTCCATCATTCAGTCTTTGCTATGATCTCTCTCTTCCTAGTCCTCTGAAAGTCCTGTTCTCTCCATCTCCCCTTATTCCTGTCATTGGGTGATAGTGGATAAACAAAGATTCTGGGGTTTATATTTGGGGGGGTGAGATTTATAGGCCACAAGGAGTCCTATACTTGGAGAGAATTTTTGTCTTTCTGCCCTAGATATCTCAGATGTTTCTCCAGTATCTTTTTAATAGCCAAAAGATCATATTAAAATCCCTACACAGGGAAAAGATAAGTGAAATATCCAAGTGCATTTACCTCCTGTTTTTACTCTCATCATTTTACTCTCTGACCAATATTTGGCACACCTATTTTTTTTTTTTTTTGTTCAGAAACCAAAATTTTAAAAAGAACATTTACTGTTTAGACTAAGAGAAACCAAGGAAGATTGTACTTTATTATTCTTCCAGTATACTAGGTTTCAGCTATTTTGAAATACCCAGAGGCCAAGGAATTGTGGAGGCATAAAATTGAATCCTGCATGGGTTAGACAGGTGTTGAAAAGAAAGTCTAGTGGCTCACACTGCATTGTACCTGAAGCCGGCTTTGGTTTTCTGCTAAAATCTCATGAAGTAGTTTAAAATTTGTGTGTGTGTGTGTGAGAAAGTTTGCCATCAAATGAGAGAGAAAAATATTAGGTAAAGTTGATACATATAAGAAAACATGACTCTTTTGAGAGAACAATGATTTGATGGAAAAGTGGTTTTGGAAAATATCCTTGCAGTTTCCACACAAGTAAATTCAGAAATTGGGAAATTCTTGAAGTTTTGTGGCTAGAAAAAAGAATGGAAAGGAAGAGTTCACAGGGACTAGTTTTGAGTTGTTCCAAGTCCAGAGCTAAACATTTAGCAGAGGTATTTTGTGATAGCATATAGAACTTATATCCTTTGTGTGTGTATGTTACTGAGGATTGAACCCAGAGATACTGTATCTGAAAGATGCATCCTTAGTCCTTTTTAATCTTTTTATTTTGAGACAAGTTTTCACTAAGTTGCCCAGGCTGGCCTCTAATTTGTGATTCTCCTGCTTGTCTCTCAAGTTGCTGGGATTATAGGCATGTACCACAGTGCCTCACAGTCCTACTGGCACTGACTGGGGTGGCTCCCAGAGTTTTGTTTTGGGGAAGCACAGCCCTGTCCTTTTAAGATCTTTTAGTTTTTGGAAGCAAAGTTTCTCTCATCTCTGGGCCTGTGGAGCCAGCAGCCTCAGGCTTCTGCATTGGCCTGACAGTTGTCTTCTACTTTTGTCCATTTTCCAAGTTTTTCTAATTTACTACTTTCTCCACTTTCTGCTGGTCCAGCATCCCCTCTAGTAGAGCATATTCATCCTCCATCCTGACCCACATGTCTATATATACATGGTTATGTGTTAAAGTTTACAACTGGTTAGTCTTTGGTGCATCTAGCTACTCTTGTAACAGGGTCTCAAGTGTGTCTTCCTATTAGTAGCCTAATTAGGCATTAGAGGCCACCACGAGTGCATATTATTCTTGGAGTTCTCCTTCATAATTCTTTTCCTTTCACTATTCAGAAAATTGACTGCCTTTCCAGGATAGTAAGTGGTAGCTCCTCTTATTCCTGCTCTTAAGCATTTTTTTATATTGCTGGGTACCTATATATATTCATATTACCAGGAAGGAATGACTCTCCTATTCTTCCTGCTTCCTTGTATAGAAACTATTTAAGGGATGCCTTCCAAAATCAGCTTATTGTTTTTATGGTCCCAAGATCTTTAGGTAGCTAACCTAGTGCCCATCTGTTGGAAAGGGTATAGTTAAAGTCAGTTATGATCCAGATACTTGATCTGTATCCTATCCTGCAGGGCATGGCTTTTCTCCACAACAGCATTATTTCATCTCATGGAAGTCTCAAGTCCTCCAACTGTGTGGTGGATAGTCGTTTTGTGCTCAAAATCACAGACTATGGCTTGGCCAGCTTCCGATCAACTGCTGAACCTGATGATAGCCACGCCCTCTATGCCAGTGAGGCCTGCCCCATAATGCACTTTTTACACTGCTCCTCTGGCCTTGATCAGTTCCACTTAGGGAGGGTGGGAGAGGGAGACAAGTTACAGTAATAAATGAGTGGGTGGGGGTACCCTATTTGGGGGACCTGGCTAGCTTGTTTCCTCTTTTCAGAGAAGCTGTGGACTGCCCCAGAACTGCTCAGTGGGAACTCCTTGCCAACCACAGGCATGCAAAAGGCTGATGTCTACAGCTTCGGGATCATCCTGCAGGAGATAGCACTTCGCAGTGGTCCATTCTACTTGGAGGGCCTAGACCTCAGCCCCAAAGGTGAGAGTTGATCTGCTATCCATAGTCTTTTCTTCCTTGGGGGACTCTGTTCTTCATCCAAACCTTTTATCACCCTCAGAGATTGTCCAGAAGGTAAGAAATAGTCAGCGGCCATATTTCCGGCCAAGCATTGACAGAACCCAACTGAATGAAGAGCTAGTTTTGCTGATGGAGAGATGTTGGGCCCAGGATTCAGCTGAGCGACCGGACTTTGGACAGATCAAGGGTTTCATTCGCCGCTTTAACAAGTGAGAAGACACTAAAGGGCAAGGGCTCCATAGGGATAGAAGCCTCATCAGGTCTTCATGGATGAAGTGGGGCTGGTGGGTTGGATAGAAAGTCTGGGGAGTCTTGAGAATCTTGGAGCAGGTGACATATCCTGGCCTCCCTGCAGGGAAGGTGGCACCAGTATATTGGACAACCTCTTGCTACGCATGGAACAGTATGCCAATAACCTGGAGAAACTGGTGGAGGAACGCACACAGGCTTATCTAGAGGAAAAACGCAAGGCTGAAGCTCTGCTCTACCAAATTCTGCCCCAGTGAGAACTTTGTCCCCCTTCCTGAATTTTCCTTTCAGATTCAGCTGTTGAATTCTGCCTCAGTCTCCTGAAAGCCCACTTCCCAAGCCTCCAAACCTGTTTTGTTATATCTTGCCATAGTGAGCCCTCCTGGCTATAGACTAATTGCTTTCATTCTGTCTCCAAATGAGCTGGGCTCTTTCTGGGGTTTCTCATCCTTCCTCCTTAGGACACTGTTCTACCTTGCCTCTGCTTCAGCAAGTATATGTAAAATAATCCCAAATTGAAACACTGTGTCCCCACCACTTATGCACCTTACTATGTGCTAGACAATGTCTTCTCAACCACTTTCCTTTTCCTTCACCAACCCCAGCTTTCCCATTACAACTTAGCTCTGTCTGCTGCAGCCACATATTGCTTTCCTCTTTCCCTCTCCCACATCTTTCTTGGAATTTCGCTCACACTACACCCTTGTTCTCTAGTTCAGTGGCAGAGCAGTTAAAACGGGGAGAGACTGTACAGGCTGAGGCCTTTGACAGTGTTACCATCTACTTCAGTGACATCGTTGGCTTCACAGCATTGTCAGCTGAGAGCACCCCTATGCAGGTAAGAGCCATGTGTGAGAGGTAGTGTGTAGGATAGGGACCTGGGAGCTTCACTAATAGGGAAGACTAGTTCATTCTGGAGTTCCCATATTTTGTTAAGAGTTTGTAGCTTGAGAATGCTTAGAAAGTTGGGCATGAGCTTCAGGGCCTCTTCTATCTTCTTAGGTGGTGACACTTTTTAAATTATTTTAATTTAGGTGGTGACACTTCTTAATGACCTGTATACCTGTTTTGATGCCATAATTGACAACTTTGATGTCTACAAGGTGAGAGTTGGGGTTGCCTTCCTACTGAGACCCCTTTAAGGTCCAGGCTCCTGGAACCTCTCCACATAGATTACCCACTCCATGGTCAGTTTTCACTCTAGGGTCTCTAGAGTGCAATGCTGAAGTGCACTTCGTACATGGATGTGGCTCCAGGATTCTAATTGTACATTCAGGTCTAATAACTTGTGAACCCTTAAGCTTCTTTAATCAGAACCATCACAGACTTTAGTCCCTATCTCTCTGAGTATATAAATATTGCCTACCCATCTTCTCTTTTTCTCCTCCAGACATGGAACAATCCCTACAGGATATGGGTACAAATTGATTCAGTGGGGTGAGGGGCAAGTATGAATAATGTTGTAAGGCTTTTTGTTGAAGTCACCGACTTGGCAGAGAGTTAGCTTTATTGTCCTTGGGAGTGCAAATGAGCTGTATTTAAATATTGGCTTTATAGCTAGCTTTGTGGTCTTAGGTAAGTAACAGCACCTCCCTGATCCTTGGTGGTTTTAAGATGGGAATAATAGACTGAGTGCAGCAGTGCACACTTGTAATTCTGACTGTTTGGGAGGTTGAGGCAGAAGGATCACAAGTTCAAGGCCAGCCTGGGCAACTTAGTGAGACCCTGTCTCAAAATAAAAATAATAAAATAAAAGGACTAGGATATAGCTTAGTGGTAGAGAACCTTGGGTCCTGGGTTCAGTCTCCAGTATCAAGGAAAAAAAAAAAAAAGGAATAAGAGATTGTATGGGAAGTGCCTAGCACTGTGTAGTGCATGGTAGATAATAAATATCCATTCCTGCCCCTTCCCTTTGGGTTTACTGATCTATAGTTTCTGTAACAAAGAACTCCCATCAGATACATCAGTTATTCTGTCAATTGTTTCTATTTTCCTCTATTTTATTAAAAAATCTATTTATATAATTATTTTCTAAACCAAGAGTAAGTTTCAGATAGAGGACCAGTTTATCCCTAAATTCTTAGTGTGTATATCCTAAAAATTTCACAGCACATTTCCTAAAAATAAGAGCATTCTCTTGTATAACTTTGGTACAATTACTAAAATCAAGTGCCTGCTTTCTCACTGTCTGGCAGTTTGGGTGGTCTGGCTCATGTCATTGGTCTGCTTTACCTTCTTGCCAATCTTTGTGCTCTTCAGGTTAGCTCGTTTTCTTGCTTTCCATTTCCTGGCAACAGGGCCTGTCTGTCCATGTCCTGTTGTGGAAAGGGTGTCTAGTCATTCAGCAAATGCTTACTGAGTATTTGCCAGGGTTTCTTGACTGCCCTTCTTCCCAGATTCTCAGGACTACAGCTTTTATTTTTTAGTTGAAATTTTGGCCTCCCAGGTGGTCAGGATGATGCCTGATACTGTCTAGCTTGTCTACAGGTACTTTTTCTCATTCCTACTGATACAGAGAGAAGTGATGTTTTAATCCCCCTCTAAATCAGGTGGAGACGATTGGGGATGCCTACATGGTGGTGTCTGGCCTCCCAGGCCGAAATGGTCAGCGCCATGCACCAGAAATTGCCCGGATGGCCCTAGCGTTACTAGATGCAGTTTCTTCCTTCCGTATCCGCCACCGACCCCATGACCAGCTGAGGCTACGCATAGGGGTTCATACTGGTAAGACTAACTCTCACTCCAACCCTAGATGCCATGTTTCCCAGGCTCTCTCCAACCTGTTTCTTTTCATAGGGCCAGTCTGTGCTGGGGTTGTTGGCCTGAAGATGCCCCGCTATTGTCTTTTTGGAGATACAGTGAATACTGCTTCCCGAATGGAGTCTAATGGTCAAGGTGAGACATTAGCCTTCAACCCCAGCCTCAGCCTCACTCTGTCTTGCTCTCTTCTTTTCAGAGCTCCTCCAAATCTTCAATACAAGAGACCACAACTCCTAAGTGGCCCATCCTTGTGCACATTTTGGTTCTAGTGAATGTGTGTGCTGGGAGGACTGGGAGCCTCCTGGGGGGTGGTTGGTTGGGTAAGGTGCTCTTCAGCACTGTCAATTCTTCTATTTCCTTTTTCTTTGACTTTTTTTTTTTTTTCCTATCATACCCCATGCTACCCCAGCCCTGAAGATCCATGTCTCCTCTACCACCAAGGATGCCCTGGATGAGCTAGGATGTTTCCAGCTAGAGCTTCGGGGTGATGTGGAGATGAAGGTGATGGCAGGCCATGGGGAGGGGGTCATGGAAAGGGAGAATGAAAGTGATTATGTGGCTGGGGGTGAAGAGAGGGAGATCAAGGACTAACAGAAGAGTCTGAACCATGTTTACTCCCTCTGCTTCCAGGGAAAAGGAAAGATGCGAACTTATTGGCTCATAGGAGAGCGGAAAGGACCTCCTGGACTGCTGTAAACCCTACATCTTCCCAAGCTAGACAATCTCCTGCTTCTGGCACCTGGATGAGCAGTAGCCACCATCTCTCCATATACCAGAAACAGACGTTGTCACATGAGATGGAAAATGTGCACAAAAACCCCACCTTATATGGAAGTCATAGCCCTCTGCAGCTCAGTTTTGTACATATATCTGTCCTTCTCTGGTTTGGTCCCCTTCTTCCCTACCTCCTGTAAATATATATATCTAAACCAGAATATTTTGGCCAAATATAAAATAACAAGAAGTAGTAGTCATGGTGTCATAGTCTGGGGTAGGTAACTCCAAGGAAAGGTTATAGGGTATGCACACAGTGACTCACAGAATCAGTCAATTAGCAGTCTCAGGATGAAGAACCTTTATGTAAAGCTCCTTCATCAAGTACAGAGGGAATTAACTTCCTTCTGCTCACCTCTCTGATATAAGCAGAAACAGATTCCAAATTCCATATCCAACTTCCCCCTTCAACTTTTACACAGGACCCATTCTGCCCCCTGGATGCCCCTGCCCTTCTCTCTGACAGGCAAGGGAAGACATTTCCCCTAATTGGTGGGGATAATTCTCAAGTTCATAGGGCAAAGGCTGACCCAGAGACAAGGGCACTGGTGTTGAGAAGCTGCAGTTCTTCCGGAACGGTGTGTCCAGTGTCCTGATGTTACTGACACCCTGGATCAATGCCAACATGAGGACAGGTCCCTCTCCCCACAATAGACAGACTCTTCCCTGTCTTCTCTTCTCCATCCCCCCACACCTAGTCACTCTCACACACCGGTAACTGCGGTGCCCTCTGAATCCAGAAGCTTTCAGGCTGTTCCCGACGATAATCATGAGGCTGTAGGGAGAAATACTGAATAATTGGACTTTGGTCCTTTCTCTCAACTTCTGGACTAGGAACTTTCCCACCACCTATCAATCAGAGCCCTGCTGTGCAAGTGGGGTAGGATGGGTTCTCACCTTCGTTGGGGCAGGAGGCCCTCCTTGCACCAGCTCCATTTTGTAGTCATGGTGTGTCACTGACTCCGCCTTAAAGGGCTTCTTTATGGGTTCCAGATCTGCCTGTACCTCTTTACTATGCAGCCCTGGGAGATGTCAAGGCCATTCTCCCCAGTTTTGCTCTTCCCCCTCCCCCTCCCCCTCCCCTAGTTTCTCACCAGATCTGGTGGTGCAGGAGCATCTCCACCATGGCTTCACGCTTCCCTGTGGGAGGGTGAAGTGGGAGTGTGATTACAAAGCAGGCCCCAAAAATTAAAAAAAAAAAAAAAAAAAAAGAAAAAGAAACAAATTTGAGAAAAGGAATGGGAATCTTAGATTTTGCCCTTATATCCATCACACAATCCACAGTCCCACCAGAAATTCCTTCCTCTTTTTTTCTCTGCCTGATGGGCTCATTCTGGCTGTCATGCTTCACACCTTGAAGAGGCTGAGAAAGGTTTCTTGGGGGCTGGTATGAATCCTTCTGGGTGGTACTCGAGGGCATGGGTGAAGGTGGTTGGGTGGTCAGCAGTCCCTGGTGTCCATGTCGGAAGAAGAAACTCTCAGAGATATCCTGCCAGTTTGGAACTTGATCCAGGTGGTTTGTAGCTCTCTGTGGGCCGTAAGTTGAATGACTGTGATATCCCTTGTTATCTACCCTCATCACAAACTATTGGCTCCCCTAGAAACTTGGGTCAGCCTTCAAAAAAGAAAAGAAGGTCAAAACTTAATACCTCTTCCTCCCAGTTGTAGAGGAGGCACTGGCCCCGTGGCATTGTTTCATAGAGAAACTTAGGCTTCCCTTCATCTTCTCGGGTTTTCCACAGCCCTCGGGCACCAGGTTCTGAGACTTGCAAAGATTCCCAAGATGGTTGTTTCTGAGGATCCCAGTGGCAGTATTGATTCCAGGAGGTATAATTAGGAAAAAGATCTGGCCTAAGGTTTTTGAACCTTTGAGGAGTGCTGGGCCTGGGCTCAGGGCCAGGGCTAGAACCTGGACCAGCTCCAGAGGCAGGATCAGGACCTGAGGCAGGACCGAAGCCTTGGCCAGAGGTATGGCCACGACCAGTGTCAGAACGAGGGATAGTGGCAAGGCCAGAGGGAGGGATAGTGGCAAGGCCAGAGGGAGGGATAGTGGCAAGGCCAGAGGGAGGGATAGTGGCAAGGCCAGAGGGAGGGATAGTGGCAGGGCCAGAGGGAAGGATAGTGCCAGGGCCAGAGGGAAGGATAGTGCCAGGGCCAGAGGGAGGGACAGTTCCAGGGCCAGGACCAGTGAGGAAGCCAGGGCTAGAGCCACTTCCAGGACCAGTGCCAGAACTAGGGACTAAACCACGGTCAGGAACAGAACTGGAGCCAGGGAAAGAACTATAGCCACGGAAGCCAGGACCGGGGACAGGGCTGGAGCTGGAACCAGTTAAAGGGTCAGAGCTGAAGCCAGGAACAGGAGCAGCGCTAGAGCTAAGGTCAGTTGTAGTATAGGGATGCCTAGCAGTAGAGGAAACATAGTCAGGGTCAAAGCCAAGAGTTTCACGGCCTATTTGTGGGGTTCCAGCATAGACTGCCCCAAGAAAATTGTCAGAGGAGGGCTCTGTGAACCTAGAATAGGGTGCTGGGGTCTCTGTAAATAATGCAGCTGCTCTGGCGGAGGCGGCGGCTGCGGCAGCTGATGCAGCTGCATCAGCTGCAGTGGTTGCGGATGCCAGGGCTGATGCATGGCCATGTGAAGAAAGAAACGGTTCCGAAACAGTCCCTAGTTCTTCAGCGCAGGGTTGTACTTCTAAAGATCTAAAAGAAAACAAAAGCGTCAAGGTATCAAAAGCCCAGCAGAGGAAGTCCGCTGACCTTTCTTGTCCCTTTTCACTTGAAGCCAGAGCTGTGGCTCTCACCGCGACGGCGATCCCTCTGTAGATTCGTTGGGCTCCATCTTCAGGCTCCAGCTACACGGTTGCCATAGAGACAGCAAAAAATTCCAAGAGACTGCGCAGAACTAAAGCTGGGCGGAAGTGGAGGGAAGAGGTGGAGGCAAGTCCTCTGAGGGGCGGAAGTCTTAAGCTGGGTGCGCTCTCTTTTCTGGTCCCGACTCCATGCTGCCTCAGACGCGGTTTTAAGGTTCCATTGGCCTGAGACCTCGACTTCCCTGTTCAAGCCTGATTCTTTGCGGCTAAGGTGATTCTTTATGGGGATACCTTGGAGACTGGCATAGGACCGTGGCATTGGACAAACGCCTAGTTGATGTGTTGTGGAGGACCAATAGTAGCTTCCTCTTAATTTGCTTGGTTCATTCTCAAAAGTGAGGAGTGAGGAGGCTTTAAAATTGTTTTTAAGGATGAAAATATATAAAACAGTTAAAGAGCAAAACAGAGAACATATGGAGCAGCATATAGCTAACAGCTGGTGTGTTCGTGTGTGTATGTTACTACTTTTCAAATATTAGGCCCTTATATTGACTACCTTCCTCCCAATTCCCTTTTGAACCTGGTTGGGCCTCTGAATGAAGTCCAGGATGCAGCTAGTCTTACACCTGGGTTTCAGTCTCTTTCTACTCATTCAGGCTCATTCCTACTGCTACTTTTCTAAAGTTTGACCCAGGGCAGATTACTAGTCATGAGGCATATCTACAGGCAGGTGCTTTTTTTGACCACACAGTGGGCTTCCTCAGTGTCTCTTACTTTGATCACTGTCAAAGGAGCACACAGCAGAATCACTCTTCTTTCCCCTTTGTGGTATAAATCCTTTTTATTAAAGACAGGCATGCAAAAGTGAGGGAGAATAGGTTTATTAGCATCACAGGGTTCCTTTTCCCATCCAAACATCCAGATCTGAGTTTCTTGGGTCAGTTGGCAGGTTCAACCTGGAGGCCAGTGGAGCTGCCGGCCCCCAAGTACGTGAATGTGAAGGTGATATACAGATTGTGCTCCCAGCTTTCCATCATTGATCACTGAAATAGAGCTTGAAGTTAGGGGGTCAGGATTATGGGAGAGGTCAAAGAATGAAGATCATATTGAGGAGCAGGAATTCATAGATGAGGGACCCATGGGCCAAGTCACTCACCAAGTCGGTATCCATCTCCCAGGCCCTCAGCTTTTGCTGTTTTCTTGGCTACAAGGAGAAGGTGTCCTAGAAGCTGTAGGGAGAAGGGAGGGACATAGTTGTCTTTATTCACAGAGGGCAAAACCTCTAGCTTTACCAGGGCTCTTCCCACAACAACTCCTGGCCTTGTTCTTCCCACCTGCTGGTCTTCTTCTTCAGCCTGGCTAATACGAGGAATGGGCTTCTTAGGAATGACCAGAAAATGCACAGGGGCTTGAGGGGCCACATCACGGAACACCAGACACTGGGAGCAATGACAGGCCAGAGACAATCACATTAGTTTATCAGGCTAGCTGTATCTATGAAATTCCTAAGGGGTTTGGTTCCCACCTGTTGGTCCTCATATAGAATGTCAGCTGGAAGGCTTCTGTCCAGGATCCGGGAAAAGATGGTTGGAGCTGCTCCTCCAGGAGCTGCCTGCTGGGCCTTAGCCACTTCATTCCCATTTATCATACCTGCAGCTCCTCGGACCTGCAGGAGAGTCAGATACACCCAAGGGAGGGAACTGGCAATAACTCTTCCATGTACTCACTTGGAGCTGGCAGAGTTGTGCTTTGATAGTTATCAACCTATTACATGCTGGTATTCCATATGTAGGGTGTGTGTGTGTGTGTGTTTGTGTGTATGTATATATGTATATGTGTATGTATGTATGTATGTGTGTGTGTATGTGTGTGTGTGTGTGTGTGTATATATATATATATATATATATATAAATGACTATGAGACACTGGGACATAACTGGCAATATTATGCAAGATTCAGGAGTGCAATTGATTCCTGCTAATGTGTGTATAAAATCTAACACGTGCAGGGAAAAGGATCCAAAATGGGAGTCTCAAGATTTATGTCTCAGTTCCTGTTCTAACACTGAATTACCTCAGAAAAATTTCTTCTGTAGCTTCATATAAAAAGGGGCGGTTTGTATTATCTCAACACAGCTTGAAGGTCTGTATACTCCCACCTTGTTAGTATGTGTTCACTTATTTCCATTACTTGTTTTCTGATATTTAAGCCTGGTTACCTGTTTATTTAGGTTTTAATGCATATGTCCTGTTTGACTCTAGCTCTTTCTCATTTGGGTGTCATGTCTGATCTCTTACGTGGATTTTAACTCTAGTAACTTACATCAGTGGAATTACATATTAATTTAGCCAGGCAGTGGTGCACACATGTAATCCCAGAGGCTTGGGAGGCTGAGGCAGGAGGATTGCGAGTTCTAAGCCAGCCTCAGCAATTTAGCAACTTAGTGAGACCCTGTCTCTGAATAAAATACAAAAAAGGGCTGGGATGTGGCTCAGTGGTTGAGTGTCCCTGGATGGTTCATTCCCCAGTACCAAAAATATATAAATAAAATAAATTAAAATAAAAAATAAATAAATCAGCTAAATGAACTCAGTCCTCCCCCAGTTATCCAGGAGGAAGAGATATACCCGTTTCCCATGGACTCAGAGAAAAATAAAGTCAGTGCGTCATAATGGGGGAGAAAAGAACTGGACGAATTAGGCTCTTGACTCCCGAGTTGCTACTGAAAAGTGGGGAAGATCAAAGGTTAACACCTTTGCTTATTAGAAGGCCCAAGGGAGCAGGCAGAGGACTTGCTCTGAGAGACCTCACTTTCTGCTGAGGGAACTGAGGTGACCGGCCAGCTGGGCTTCAGACAACGGAGGGCAGCAGCTGCTGCATTGACCCCGTCCTGACCTCGGCGCCAGGGCCTGTGCGGGGAGGCGGTGATCGCTAGTTCGCTACACCCGCAGCCATCAAGTCCGACCTCACCGCACAATCCTAGAGCTTGATCCTCGGAAAGGGCAGTGGCTCTGCAAGGCTGCTGGGTTGCTTGCGCCGTGGCTCCCGCCACAGAGGGCGTCAGAAACTAAGGAAGTCCCTCCTTGTCCCCGCGGACACTTCTCACCTGCACCCCCCGGGGCCCAGAGGCCGCCAAGGCTCTGCTCGCCGCGCGCAAGCTGGCGGCTAGCACCACCGCAGCAGCCATCCTCCCGGAGCTGCGGGAACCGCTCACTCCTCCCGCACTCTGCGGCCTACGGAAGGTGGGCCGTCGGAGAGGGAGAGCTGGGGTCATTGGCCCCTTCCGCGGCCGGGGGCGGGCCTGGCCACCTCCATTGGATCGCGGTTCCGGGCGCTACTCAAGCCATTGGCTCCGCTGCCACTTTAGAGGCGGAATCTTTTCATCCAATTGGCTGCATCTTCCAACGCAGGGCCAATTCCCACTCCATTGGCTTCGTCTTTTAGCGTAAAAGTTCCTTCTTGAGTGTTGTCTCTGATTTCGCTACGAGATAAATTTCCAAGGATTAAGAAACTTGGAGGTGTAATTTTTCACCTAGTTGGCTTTGACTCACAGCCATAGCTCGGTTTAGGTTAGGGACCCCGAGCTTTCACGTTCCCGGCTAGTCCTTCTCAGTTCTGGCCCCTTCTGGTGGGCTGGAGGAAGGGGGCGGGCTCCGTCAGTTGCTGCACAAAGGTCTAAACGTACTTTGGATCCTTTCACTGTTTTGGCCAGGCGGCGGGCAAGGTTCTGAGGGCATTAGGTACATGTGGTTCCAGGAATCACCTGGGTGGGGCTAAAGATGAACCGGAAGGGGGTCTTTCTAGTTGGTGGTGTTGATACCCAGCATTTTCTCCACACGGGCGGTTTCAGTCACTTGACCATTTCAGAGATTTTTTTTTTTTTTTTGTTTTTTTTTTTTTGATACTGGGATTGCACCCAGAGCCTCAGGCACACTAGGCAGGCGCTCTACCACTGAAGTACGTCCCCAGCGCCCCTCACCTTTTGGGGATAATTATTTTCAAATTTTGAGACTGGGTCTTGCTAAATTGCCTAAGCAGTCCTCAAACTTGGGATCCTCCTGCTTCAGCCTTCCAAGATCACAGGCTTGGGTCACCGCGCAGGAACCATTTGGAAGATTTTAAAAGGCAATTCATTCTTGTGTTCTCATTAACACATTCACACCATAAATTATTTCCAGGTCAGTTTTTTTTTTTAATTGGTTTTAGATATATATGACAGTAGTGTGTGTGTGTGTGTGTGTGTTTTATATATATATATATATATATATAAAATATATATAAATTATATATATAAATTATATATATAAATTATATATATATATATGTGTATATATATATATATATATATATATATATATATAATTTTTTTTAATCGGGTGAAGATGGGAACGTCCTACCTTTACTGCACCAAAAAGCAAAGGAATATGCATCTAATGTTCTTTTCTAATCAAGAGTATGATATAGTTAGCTCAGGAGTTTTCAGGGAGACAGGTTCACTCTGCTGGGGTTCATACTTTTGATATAAGAAACATCGTGTCACGAAAATACTCAAGACAGGGTGAATTTAGTCTGAAGTTTAACACAGGATAAATCTCCACTGTTTTTCTTTTTTAAAAAAGCACATGACCTGCCACATACAGGAGCTTAATAACTGTTTGTTGAATTAATCAAATTTGGTGTTACATTTTTTTATAATATATGGCATATTATTCTCCCATCAATTTTTCAAATTATTACATAGGCTATGTCAATATATCAGGTAATGGGGCTGCATACTATTTCCTTAATGAGTTTACCATAGCACTCTGTAGCTGACTTTTAAATGAATTAGTTTTAGATGAATGGTTATCAAGGAGCATATAATCAGTATTGGAAAATTCTTCTAGAGTTAGTACAGTCTCCTTTTCTTTAAAGTTGTGGTGCTGGGGCTTTATGCCTGCTATACAAGGCTCAATCACTGAACTACATCCCTAACCCTACCTGATCTCTTTTATATAACTATATTATTGTTAGAAAGTCCATTGTTCTCCAAAGGGCAGACATTTTTTTTTTAATTTTACTTTTTAGTTTTCGGTGAACACAACATCTTTTATTTTTATGTGGTGCTGAGGATTGAACCTAGTGCCCGCGCATGCCAGGCGTGCCAGGTGAGCAGGCTATGCTTGAGCCACGTCCCCAGCCCCAGGGCAGACATTTGATCCTGTGATGTTCCCTAGGGGTCTTAGTAGTCTAGGCTGTATTCCTTCCCTTGGTAGGACAGACGACCTCCCTAAATGTGAGGAAATGTAGAATGACCTCTTCTCTGTATCCCAGAGGCTTCCTTTCTCTATGCTTCTGGGACACCTGAAGACCTTAAAACTCCCTGGAGAAGGCAAGAGGTAAGTGGAACTGAGATCTAGAAGAGGAAGGAAACCAGCCTGGAGGGATAGTGAATACAAAGCTTGTTAAAACTGGTTATTTCCTTGGGTTTTCACAGAGAACAACACTGGTTAATCCTGTTTTACAGATCCAGAAACCAAGGCCCAAAGTGGGGAAGTTCTTCTCTAGAGGCACAGAGCTCCATCAGTGTCAGGCTTTCCAACTCCTGGAAGAATTACCTATCAACTTCCTTGTTACTCCCCCAAATTCACTGTTTTTTTCACAGTTTTCTCTATTCTAAGTCCTTGTTATCACCTACAGCTGTTCTCATGTGAAAGCTGTAATGCTTTGCAGGCTCTGATTGTTGTCTCCTTAATTCAGTCCATGCCACTACAACTGCTACTGGACCTCATTAGAGACTTTTATTCCCTTTCAACTCATCAATTGATTCCTGGAATCATTTTCTTTCCCTATTTGTATCATCCACACCCTCCACATCTTTATGCCAATTCCTTTTGCCTCATTTTCCTGATAATCCTTCCCGACAACCTCCCATCTCCATCTATCAGGTAATCTAAACATTTTTCTTAGGTTTTTCACTTCCAACTGTACCTGAATCCTAAACTATGATCAAGATTTTCTCCAATTCCCCAACATTAGCCTGCCTAAACTCTCACCTTTCCCTTCTTGTCTCCTAATACCCCCTCATTCTTATCCTCTTCATAGAGAAGCTATCAGAAGGGAAATTCTCTAATATGTTTCCTGAAGCTCAGTGAAGGCTCCAAACTTTCTTTCCTCTTCTTGGTCTCAGGAAGTGATGTTCCTTTTTGTTCAGAGCATATCCCTTCACCTCTGCCTGATCTCATACCATTTCTTTTTCTCTGGGATCTTGTCTCACTAGGAATCTTTCCTCTTTCTTCTGCATCTTTCAAGGACATTTTATCTACTGGTCTCTTCCCCCTTTCCTTCCTAAAAAACTGCTTCCTTGACTCCATATCTCCCTCTGGATATTGTCTGACGTTTTCCCTGCATTTTTCATCCAAGCTTCTGGAAGAGTCCCTTTCAAACTCATAGCTATTTTGTTTCTCCCTCTACTATACCAGTATGAAACTGTACTCTCGGAAGTCCCCACTTTCTAATTGTAAAATCCAATGGGCACTATTTAGTCTTTATCTTACAGAAGCCCTAGCTACATCTTAAATCATTGCCCACTTTATCCTTCTTGAAATTTCCTCCCTTCTTGGCTTTCTTGAAATCACTCTGCTTGTGATGTCACAGCCAGAAGGTTGAATGTGGGCATGATGTGGGGCAGATAGCTGGATCTAGCCTTTATCCTGCTTGGTGCTGTCTCTTGCCCCCAAACAGTGCCAACTCTAATGACTTTTGGTTGGCTCTTGGCTCTACTGCCCCATATAGGACTACGTCAGATTCTAGTGGCTTCCATTTTATTGCTGATCTGGGCCAGGCTCAGAAGGGCCTATGCCGTTTGTTGAAGTGTATGTCCCTGGAGGATGGGAGAGTAAATGTTTAAAGGATCAGGTACGGCGGTCAGATGGGGGACCAGGCTGGAGTCTGTGTGGGCTAGGGAATGCAGGGGAACTAGGGTGGGGACTGGGATGACAAGGGAGCCTTTGCATCTGGAGGGCCTCGAAGTCAGAGCTGTTCAGGATGGTTTCTTGGAGGACAGGCATGTCTGCAAATGTCACATATTCTGCTCCTGGGGGTAGAAACCAGTTCAGGCATTGGATTTGGGGAGTGAGAAAATACAGTAGTCCTGGAGGGGACAGTTAAGGTGCCTTTCTGCCCAGCCTCCTGACTACAGATGCTGGGCTGGCCCCCTGTCCCAGATTGCATCCTTACCATGAGGTCTCCCTCCTCGTCGGCGTGTCTCCTGGGTCTCAAAGAAAGTCTCATGTTCCTCCCAGCGCCGGTCACAAGCGGCACAGAGGAAATTAGACTCAAAATTATTGCAGCCACAACCTGAGACAAAAGGACAGCCCAGGAGAATATAGAGAATGGAGAGGCATCTCCATGGGCTGACTACATTCTCAGCTCTTCCTTACCCACCAAACACCAAACAAGTATCTTTTTTATCAGCTCCCCACTCTCCTCCCCAAACTATTTGCATCCTATACTCACTTCTTCCCACCCAATACTCCCCTGCATTAGAAGTTACCACGATGCCTGCAGGGATGAGTTCCAGTGGCTGCATGCTCTTCATGGCTATGTTTGCAGCGACATTGAGCCCTCCAGGCCTTGGGATCAAAAGTGGCTCGTCTCTTGAGCCAGAATTCACCCACCTCTTCTGGGCGTGATGGGATGAAGCAGAACATGAGGCAGCGGCACTGACTCACATTGCAGGGCACAGTTATGTCTATGGGACAAGGATGGGTGGTAGGGTTGGATGAGCACCTGACAGGGCCTGGCCTGCCCATGCCAAATCCTCCCCATATTAACACACACACACACACACACACACACACACACACACACACACAGTTTCACATATCCCAAGACATGATGACAGAGTTGTCCCTCCATACCTGACAAAGGCTGGTCACTTCTCCCCTACCTGAGATAATGTGGTGCTCTCTCAGTAAGTGTCCACAAAAGCACTTGGACTCATCCCCAATCCGGAAGCAGTCCCATAGGTAATGGGGACAGCGCCAACCAATGTAGAGACCTATAAATGGTGAATAATAGGGAATTGTGGAAGGAATGAATAATATGGAAAAGTGAGAAAGAAAAAAAAATCCTAAGCTCTCCCAGATATTTTGACCTATTTCATGGGGTCAGGGTGGAGCTTCACCTCTACCCCAGGTATGTTTATCTCCACCCCACAGTCCTCACAGCTACCCCATTGACTTTTTCCCTCAAGGTTTTCTGATCATCCCATGTCTTCAATTCCCTTCCTATCCCAGGATCAATTCTATATGAGTCCGCCAGAGATGACTGAAGAGTCTTCAGTTTCTGAGCAGGAAGATTACAGGTAAAATTTTGTTTGAAGGTGAACATGAATCTCACTGAGTTCTTTGTGACTGTGGGGTTTCTTTTCTCTTCCCCTCTCCACATTAGAACCCAGCTTTGCTTTGTTCCTTTGAAGTGTTAGACACTTAGAGGTGAGGAAGAGGAAACGTGGCCAGATATACAGTATGTGATAGGGATTGGTTCCTAAGGAGAATGGTTAGTGACAGACCCTGAAGAAGAGGAGCTGGTTGGGCACCCTTGGTACCAGGAAATAGAAGGAGGACTTCCCCTATCTTCTCTAGATTGGCTCCTTCATATGTCTCTTCTGTGTTCCTAGTGTTAAGGAACTAATACCCTCTTTGAGCCTGAGAAGGGCTGCCTGTTGCTCTCCAAGGCCCAGGAAAAGGGGGTAGGCCAGAAGTTATGGCTGTTGAAGACCAAGAATATGTTCTGAGACTAGGAAAGGAGACATAGAAAGGAAAGCAAGCTTAATAAATATCCCTGAGAGCAGGCACCAGCAGAAGGCTACAACCTTTGAGAGCCTGGTTTCAGCAGTGGGATCTGAAGCTTTCTGGCTTCATGGCCAGTCTCACCATGAGGCAAGAGTGGTGCTATGTCAACATGGTAGGAGAACCAGAGAGCACCTCCCACTCAGATTTTCTCATCCTTTGTTCTTCTAACCAAGAATTCTGCCTGAGTCCCCATGGAGTAGGACCTGAGGCTGCAGGACTCTTATTCCCATTTGAAGTTTCAACTGAAATTTCACCTCTTCCAAAAAGTTGCCCCTGATTTCCCTTGTCTGTCTAGGACCCATTCCACAGCTTCTTGTGTTATTCCTACCATGATTCCCATTAGTGTGTGAGCTCCTTAAGGGTAATACCTGTCTTTTCATACACATCTCTATTCCTAGCACAGGGCCTGGCATGAAATAGGTACTCAGAGAACACAGACTGCCTGACTGTGTGAGCAATTCTAGGCATAAACCTGAAGTTCCACAAGGAAAAAGAATTGGCATGCTTTGTTTTTAACTCTGGCCAGGGTCACAATCCACAAATTTGTGCCTCAGGCCAGGTTTCCTAGTCTTACCCATAGCTTCTTAGGACCTAAAACCTGTTCAGATGCGTCTTTTGGCTTGGCTGATTCTGTCTTGATGCTGACAGCTTGTAGTACCAATGCCCTATTACACCAAGAAAGCTTGGTTGAGGCAGTGTCACAATGGAAATGGGTGGGAGCCAGGATTCCACCAGAGGAATCCTGAACCCTGTCTGGAGTAACAGGACACAGTGGATAAGCAGGTGATGTACAGAAGTACAGAACAAGGGTCTGTGCCCATAGATCAAGGCTTGGCCTGAGATATGGAATTACCTGGTTATCTTTATATGTTCGGCCTTATTTCCATCTTAAGGGAAAGGAAGTATGAAAGACTTTTAGTGATTCTGAGTTGCCCTCAGGATATAATTCCAACTCTTTAGCTGGGCACAGAAATGCCTGCATAATTCTTCCCTTCCAAAGCTGAGCTGGGTTACTCCCCCTCAAAAACACTATTTGCCAGGTATAATATACTGCTGCTGTTCCTTAAGCTGCCTTGTCGTGTCTCACCTTACTCTTTTCTTGACTTGGCCGCCTCTCCTTACTATCTTACAGATATCAATTGAGAAATCTTTCCTTTTAAGACATTGTTCCTTTACTACCAAAGATTGGGTGTCCCTCTTCTCTACCCCTGCAGCATTCTTGGTATAGAAATTATTAAAGTGAATTATAATTGTCCTTATTGGTGTCACTTATTAGAGTGCAAATTAGTTTTTTGGACTCTAATGAGGAATTTTGTTTTTGAAACTTTTCCAATCCCACCACCTCCACAGCTAGGCTCGTACTGGCACATAGTTGGTGCACAAATATTTGTTGAAATAATTAAAAAAAGCTTACATTTGACATTTATCAACATGTTACATGTACTGTCATGTAGTCATTACTCTCTAGGGACTGAAGATACCCAGTATTAAAAGGGGGCCCCAAATATCTTTGATCAGGATTAAATTACACTTCCTGTTTCAATAGGAAAATGAAGGCATTCAATTTAGAAGAAGAAATGAGAAGAAGGTAGTAGACAAGAGTGTCTAAGAAGGGAAACTAACAAATCCTATATTTGCAAGAAAATAAGCAAGAGTAACAGAAGATATTAAAATAAGCAAAAAACAAAACAAAACCTGTCTCAATGCCTGAAATAAACTAAGAAGCAAATTAGATCATTGTGACTTCATTGGCTAGAGGTAGAGTGGGGAGGGATCCTGCATGGGAATGGGGAAAGTAAATTACACAGAGAAGGGATAAGGATATGGAATTACCTGGTTATCTTTATATCTTAAGCCTTATTTCCATCTTAAGTAGAAAGGAAGTATGAAAGACCAACATAAATGTAGTGACATATATAAATTTATTCTAGAAATCTCAGAATCTTCTCATCAGGTCAGGGTGGCCCTCTTACTGAAGTCAGTAATCCCTATAGATATGAAGTTCAATAACACAGGTAGACATTGTTAAACACAGGATGGTATGTGTTTACACAGCTTGTCTGCACACCCATTACAGAGATACTCAGAGCATGCTGCTAACAGCACAGTTAAAGGTACTAGCTCTGGACTGAGACTTAGATTCAACAGGGCTAGAGGACACAGCTCTCCTCTTCGGTGGGGAGACTCAAAACTTTTGGATATACAAGTTATCATGGATTTCACAAGCAGGGATGGCAGCTTTTTTTTTTTTTGTACCAGGGATTGAACCCAGGGGTGCTTAATCCCGGACCCACATCCATAGCTCCCTCCCTTTTTTTGGGGTATCTGGAATTGAACTCAGGGGCACTCAATCACTGAGCTACATCCCCATCCCTATTTTGTATTTTACTTAGAGACAGGGACTCATTGAGTTGCTTAGCACCTTGCTTTTGCTGGGGCTGGCTTTTAACTCATGATCCTCCTGCCTCAGCCTCCTGAGCCGCTGGGATTATAGGCATGTGCCATGTGCCCAGCCTCCCAGACCTTTTTATGTTTTATTTTGAGACAGGGTCTTATCTTTCTGTGTTGACAGCCACACTAAGTTGAGTCTGACTTTGAACCTGTGATCCTCCTGCCTTAGCCTCCTGAGCTGCTGGATTATAATCATAAGCCACCACACTGTGTGAGCAATTCTAGGCATAAACCTGAAGTTCCACAAGGAAAAAGAATTGGCATGCTGCTTTGGGATGACAGCTTTTAATTGAGTTGCACCAAAGAGGCTAATGGTTTTTGCCATATCAGAACAACAAGTCTCCTGGAGACTGACCATGGTCCTGGGCCATGTCTGCCTTAGGATCTGTCTGGTACAGGCTACCTGGATCTGGGCCCTAGATCTTGGGCTGGCCTCTGGCCCTTCTGTTTTTAATAAATTTATTAAAATTATTATGGGCCATCTGTGCCTGCCTGGACTTTGTATGAATATTCTCACCTTTTGTCAGACCCACACTGCTATTTCTTGGCTTACCCGCTTGCTCCCCTTCCAGATTCCAGGCAGAATGGCATGGCTGTTTCCACAAGGGGCAGCTATCTATGGAATGGGCAGGTTTCCAGATCCTATTGGATTGGAAGATATCCATGGGCCCTCTTACAGGCCTCTGAAAGGCCACCTAGGCTCACCTGTCTGGATAGCATTCAGGGATGCATCCTTCTCCCATTGGAAAAGATGATTCAACTGAGCACCAGACTTCTCCCTCTCCATTTCCTTAGTCAGGTCCATCAGCTCTGCCTGCTTAGCAGGGACCACTGGGCTGCCTATGTAACCTGGGAAGGAAGGGGATGAGTAACCAGGCGGAAGTGAGAAGTCCCTAAAATTAAGAGGAAGGGCCATGTCCAAGAGGAACACAGTCCTCTCCTTCTGGAGTAGGTCAAGAACAGTAGACAGTGATGAGAACAGGGGAAAGGGCAGGAGCAATTACGGCCAACTCCTTTCTTCTCCTTTTTCTTGCCCAGCTGGTGTTCAGGATGGGCTGTCTGAGCAGTGATGTCATTGGTATCCATTCCCTCCTTGTTCTCCCCTGAATCTTCCTTCTGCTTGGTAGATGTATCCATGTGGTTCTAGGCTGAAGGGCCTGAAACGAAGTGCTTTGGAAAAAGCTCCTGGGAGGATGTCCTTGTCCATGAGACCTCAGTGGAAGAAGACTCAGAGAGGTCATCATCGCTCAATGTATCAGAGGAAGAGAGCTGGTTTACTGGTGAGGACTGAAAAGCAATATGCTTCTCTGGTACTTCAGAATTGTGAGTCTCAAAGGTAGGGGCTTCCAAAGGGACCATGGAGGCTGACTCTTTTAAAGAGGTTACATAGAGATAGAAGGCTCCAAAGGATTTTCAGAGGTATGGGGCTCTAAAAGGGTCTTGAAAGTGGATTTATCTAAAGGGGGTTCAGAGACAGAATGCTCTAAAAGGCTCTCAGAGGCCTGGGCCTCTAAAGGGATCTGGGAGATGGAAGGCTCCAAGGTAGTTTCAGAGAGGGGGGGCTCCTATAAATCTTCAGTAGAGGGGTCCTTGGAAGAGGGGTGTTTCTTGGCATCCATGGTGGTATGAGGCTCTTCTGTGACCTTGTCTGCTTCAATCTAATGGTAGAATAAGGTACAGGCTTCGTTAGTTTTAGACTGGAGGGTTTACAAGTCAGGACAGAGAGCATAGGGTTCACAGGGTTGGGGGCGGGGGTGTTATGGAATTAGGAGAAGATTCTCAGTACATGTGAGACACAAGAAGAAAACAAAAAGAGTGTCTCCAATCCCAATTGATTCAAATGTATGAATTGCCAAGATCATTGTAATGTCATGTGTAGCTAATTAAAAAAAAAAAAGAGTGTCTCCAGGTATAATGCCAGGAGGTTCTCTCATGTGTCAAACATGATGAGGCATGCTGCTAATGGGAGGTTAGGGAGCTGAAACTTAAAAGTTTGAAAGGCCGAAGTAGGGCTGGGGATGTGGCTCAAGTGGTAGTGCACTCACCTAGCATGTGTGAAGCACTGGGTTCAATTCTCAGCACCACATAAAAATGAAATAAAGATATTGTATCCACATAAAAAACTAAAAAAATAAATACTTTTAAAAAAAAAAGAAAGGCCGAAGTAGTCAGAATCCCATCAGTAGATGGTAGCAGAGGACCATGCCCTAGGAGGGAGCCTGAACATAACTATTTGGCCAGTCCAAGAGTTGGGTCCTAGGTATGTCTTTGGCCCCTGGAGGTCAAGCTATGGCATTCCAGAGATTGAGAATATCAAGCCAAAGTTGGGGTTGGCTCTCAAGAGTGAAGAGTATGCCATGATGCCTAAGGCAGGGAGGCCCTGCCTGTAGTCTGGTTTTGTTTAGGGACCACATATACCCTCTCTTGATGATGTCATTTATATTTAAGGATTCAACTACTTCTAGCTGTGTGCTGCTGACTTCTAAGTCCATATTTCCAGTGTAGATCCTCTCTAGACTCTTGTATTTCACACTCACCCAACTGCCCATGGGACATTTCTAAATGGATGTCCCAGAGACATCAAATTGAACTCTGAAAATTATCCTAGTCTTCTTTTTGCTAAGTCCCGATCTTCAAATAGGTAATGAGAACTGCATTTCTATTTTCTAAAAAGTCTTGATACACATTCTCTCCTTTGCTATTCCTCCAGTTTTGTTCATGTTCTCATTATTTTCTGCCTGAATTGTGTAATAACTTTGCCTCTGTACTGCCACCCTCAGCATATTAATTCTTTTTTTATTGGTTGTTCAAAACATTAAAAAGCTCTTGACATATCATATTTCATACATTAGATTCAAGTGGGTTATGAACTCCCATTTTTACCCCAAATATAGATTGCAGAATCACATCGGTTACACATCCACATTTTTACATAATGCCATATTAGTAACTGTTGTATTCTGCTACCTTTCCTATCCTCTACTATCCCCCCAGCATATTAATTCATTTACCCATTATTTTATTCATTTATGTAATTTACACTTTTTGCAAAGAGCCTGATCTTATGCTTTTACTCAAGCACTGTACTAAGCCTTGGATTCAGCTGAGTTTGGGAGAGACAAGTCAACTAACAATGACAAGGAATAATTGATATTATGCTGGGGTAAGTATAGGATGCTATGGGGCTGTCTAATTCCTCCTGGAAGGAGGCCCCAGATAGGTAGTCCTTCTTCCTGACCCAATCAACACAAACCCAACATTAGTCTTGCCTTGCTTAAAAGCATTCAATGACTCAGTTTAAATTTGGATTAAGTCCAAATTTCTTTGCCGTTGACATTCAAGGTCTATTATCATTTGCGATACTACTGAGAATTTCTGCCTTTACTTTCTCTGCTCTCTACTTTTTGCCTTGCTCCAGAGACACTAGATATATCACTTCTTAAACTCATTGGGTGGGTGCAGTGGCACATGACTGTAATCCCAGGAGTTCGGGAGGCTGAGGCAGGAGAATTGCGAGTTGAAAGCCAGCCTCAGCAACTTAGAGAGGCTCTAAGTAATTCAGAGACACCCTGTTTCTAAATACAATTAAAAAAAAAAAGGGCTGGGGATGTGGCTTAGTGGTTAAACACCCCTTGGTTCAATCCTCAGTACCAAAAGACAAAAAACAAAACAAAAACAAACAACAACACAACAAAAAACCCATAATCCATCAGAGCCTTTCCAAAGGAAAGTTTGGGACGGGAAGTAGTGACAGAGGTAGGGTGATAAGTGGGAAGAGGCTCAAAGTCACTTAGAGGGAAAAGTAGCCGGAGGCTGAAGAACTAAAGAATGGGAGGAAAGGAAAGGGAACCAGAGGGGGAGGAGGGACTGAGGGATGGGGAGGAGAAGGATGAAAAGTAGAAGGTGGCAGGACAGGTATTAGGAGGGGACGAGGTTGAAGGTTTGGGTGGGAAGAACCATTGGAGAAACTACATACCTTTGGGCTTTGGCTTGGTTGTTGTCCTTAGATCAGGAAATTATGGTAGATTGAAGAGCAAAGTGTCGATCCCAAGAGAGGAGATGATCTTGGTTGTGGATGAGCTCGGCTGCAGGAGGTGAAAAGTGAAAGGCCTTGCTTGAAAGTCTATTGTTTGGGGAGACTTGAACATCCTCAGACCTTCGCAAAGGGGCTCTTAACCTTACCTGGGGAGTGGCGATAAGGAAGAGGGGGTCCAGGGTCAAGGAGAGGGGATTGACTGAAACCCCTAGAATCCGGGCCGGGAGAGGAGGGATCGGTCACCAGGACAACCGGAACGCCCAGTATTCTCCCTGCCAAATAGCAGTCTAAACATCTTTCTCGAGGCTGCTGTTTCCTGAGGGGACTACCTTGGACCTGCTAAGGGGGTTTTCAGCGAGTCTCTAGGTAGGAAGTGTCGATATTGTGGGTACAACCGTGGGGAGTCTGGATTTGTGAGGGTCCCTCTAGGGTTCCTGTGAGATACCTGTGAGGTGTTCAGTGGGGGCTGTGAGGATCTGAGGGGTCAACGGGCTCAGTTGTATGAGCGAGAAGGAAAGGGTCTCAGGTGAATTGGGCTGGGCGGAGTCTGTTCTCGAAACCCAGCAGGACTAAGTTAGAGACCAGTAGAATTGGTCAGGGGGCGGGCTTTATTGAGAGGGACCAATCGGACTGGGACAGGGGCGGAGCGTCATACGACGTCAGGCCCAGGCCGCCGCCGCGGGGCCTGGTTATCGCCGGTTCAGCGCAGCCCGGAGTCGCCCAGGCCTGAACTCCTACCCAGGTCCCAGACCCCGGCCCCAGGCCCTCGAGGACACCGGAGGCCACCCCTAGGGGGTGGGGAACGGAGCCGCGGGTCAGCTCTGCGAGCGTCCCGCATTGGCCAGTCCGGCCCCGCCCCCGCCCCGGGCCATGGCCCAGCCCTTATCCCGGCCCCTCATCCTATCCCAATCCCAGTCTTGGCCTCCGGCCCCGCCCTCGCCCCATTTCCCAAATCTGTCCCAACCCCGGTCTGGGTCCCAGCGAATGCCAAGGTCCGGGTCCCAATCCAGGGCCCCCCTCCAGTCCCAGTCCTTGTCTCTGGCCTGGCTCCCATCCCGGCCTCGGCTCTTGTTTCACCCTCTGTCACAAATTCTAGCCCAGCCTTTGCCCCCACCCCATTCCCAGGGTTCGCTTAAGTCCCTGACCCAACCTCGGCCCTTGCTCAGGTCCCCACCACAGTCCCACCTTCCATCACACCCCCTGCCCTTATTCAAGCCCCAGTGCTCAGCTCAGCCCAATCCATTATCTCAGCCTTTGCCCTCATCTCTGTGTTTACCCAAGTCTCTCCCGCTGGCCCCCCGCCCCTCTCATACTCTGCCCCTCTCCCAGCCTCGACTCAGGTCTGGGCTCCAGCTGCCGCCAGCCCTATTGCTGTTGTTGCTGTTCTCTGTCCTTGGTCCAGGGGCTGGTGAGTGCGGAAGCAGGAAAAATTGAGGCAAGGATGGGGTTCCAGTAGGGCTGGGTGGGCTGGGGAGAGATTCAGGAGAGATGGGACCTGGGGAGCTAGATCTCTGGGGAAGAAGTGGGGAGAAATAGGGAGGAGAGAGGGTTTATACAACAGAGGAATTGGCAGCATCAAGAGTGGAACTGGGTTTGAGACTCAGCAAGTGGCTAAGAGTCCCTAGATCAGAGACTTAAAGATTTTCTCTGCTGGTGTGTCCATCTTGACCCACCTTGATTCTGGCTTTTCCAAGGAAGTCTTGAGGGCTTTGCTCCTCCTTCTGTCAAAGTTTGATAGGGGAAGACATAGCCTTGTATCAGAAGCCTCTAGTCCACTCTGAGAAGATATGGCCTAAATCTTTGAGATATTGGATATGCTTAGTGCAGAGTATTGAAGATAACATGTAGCAAATAGATGGACCTAGATTAGTTGCCAATATAATGAACTTTCTTCTTGTAGTGAGTCTTTTTCCAAACAAGCTTGATTTGCCTAGAAATAATTCTTGATAGTTTTAGAGCATGGTTGAAACCCAGAGGCTGTTTTACAGATGGGGAAACTGAGGCTCAGTGAGGGAGCAATTTTTAAAGGTCATATCATTTATAAATGGTGCTGGGGCTAGAAAAAGATTTCCTAAATCCTGTCCTTAGTAGTGTTTCCCTCTTCCCACCCCATTGCAATGTACACTGAATAGGAAACAAGATGAAGTAAGGAAAGGTTCAAAGTACAACCTCTCTTCTCCCCAGTCTGCCTACAAAGGGGCTTCATCAGTGAACTGTTTATTATTTATCAACTGTCAACCTGGGGCCACCATCTAGCCCAGAAAGTAACTTGGCTACTAAGAGGTCCAGCTTCTTAGTGAGTGGAATGAGGGAGGAAGAAGGGGTCCTGGCCTAGGGGATTTGCCATATCAGTGGCTCCATAATGAAATGACTGTAGTCTTCATGGCTTCAGCTTCTAACTACCTTCTAACTACCTCTGCTGGATGATGGCACTCTAGATCACATGGAGATGTGCCTAGTGGAATCTTTGGCAATAACAGCTAACAGAACAGCTGTGGGTAAATGTGGGTTTCATTGAGCTCTGTGGGTCTGATTTAGTGTATAGACTTGAGGAGATCAATGCAAGCCAAAGGTCACATACCCTGCAGAGATGCCTGCACATTTATATGCTGTGTGTTAACTGAGGGATCTGTAAGAATATTGGCATGTGCAGTGTTTGTACATGTTTGTGTGTTGATGAGTATAACCACAGGTTTTTGTGGGGTACGTGTAACCCAAGTGTCCTCAGAATACCTATTTTTTTGTGTGAGCATGAGGGGACATGTGGTTCATGCATAAACCTCTTCATCTCTATCTGCTGCTTGTACAGACTTATCACTGAAGTGTTACCTTTAGAAGTAGATGGTTCCTAGGTTGAAGACAGTGTTCACAATATGTAGAACTAATCCACTGGTCTCCAGCCCATCTCCTAGAAGGAAGGAATCATTGAGGAAGATGGGGTTCAGTGTTGATTGTTACATTTGGCAAGTTGGGCACTCAGCAGAGTCAGCAGCCCATCAGCTTTTCAGTTTTGATGAGGGAACCCATACTGGTTAGTTAGCCTAATCCATAGCTTCCATCCCTGCCACCAGAGTTTCTTTGTTCATGAGCCCACTGGGCTGGCTAGGGGAGGAGGGAGACTGCAAGCCACAGTGTATAGGGCTGAAAGTTGTGGATAAAAATATGATTGCCCAGAAGCAGGTTCACTGCTTTGGGGAGAATTATAATGAAACTGAAAAAGAATTCCAAATAGGCCCAACAGCAGGTGGGGCTTCCCTTAGTACTGTTATTAGCCAGTGCCTTGACAATTGTGACCTGGCATTCATGGGTGCTCTGTGACCTAGTGGTGGTGATGGGCTTTGTTTGAAGAGAAACTGTCAGTGTCATAGGATCATCATAGTATAGGACTGCACAAATTCTTATTGTTGATTTCTGGATCTTCTGATTCTGTCTCTGATCTTTGGGTCATTCCTTAGGTTTAGCTGACTCTGGTTGATAACCTGGGCATGCCTTGTCATTTTGAGAAATGATCTTTTGGTGAGGTGTGGTAGCACATGCCTGTAATTCTAGTGACTTGGGAGGCTGGGGCCAGAGGATTGCAAGTATGAGGCCAGTCTCAGCAACTTGGAGGGATCCTGTCTCAAAATAGAAAAGGGTTGGGGATATAGCTCAGTGGTAGAGCACCCCTGGGTTCAATCTCCAACATGTAAGTATGTGTGTGTGTGTGTATGTGTGTGTGTGTGTGTGTGTATGTATATAAGTATATAATATAAATATATTAAAAATTCTATTTTGTTCTACCTAGTGCTGTTAGGAGCAGTGTCAGCCTCCATGTATGTATATGTGTGTGTATGCATGCATGTGCACATGTGTGTGTGTGTGCAGGGGTTAGTAGTGGTAAATCTCCCTAGCTTCATCATAAAAGTACTGGGACATCAGGATAGGATCATCTGATCTTGGCTAAGGCCTTACTTATGTTTCTTCTTTGGCACAGCTCTGATAGGCCCTGTTCAAGCCCCATATAAAAGCTTGGGGTGAATGGAGCTGTGGACCCTTTCTCAAGGATGTGTCCCCAGAACCACTTCAAGGTTCCTCCCAGCATTCTCAGCTGCTGCTCACTCTTTTTTGCCACCAGCCTATTCTGTGACCTCCACAGCCCTGATTCTTCAGGTCATACTACTGTCTTTCAAATCCCAGGACTCTTTGTGCTCATCTATCCATGTTTGCTAAAAGTCACAAGCTGCTGTTTACACTAGCTCTCTGAGGGACTGACCAACATGTCTCCTAAGAGTAGCAAAGGCTCCGCTACCAGCTTTGAGCAGGAGCAGCCCTTCCCTAAACCCAGCAGAGGGTGCTCTAGAGCTCTTATTTTTTGTAACAGAATCCAGGCTCTTCAGCTGTAGGCCTTCTGTTTCACAGTTGTCACAGCCAGGGCTCCTAGAAAACCTGCCTTCCCCATCAGTTGGTCCCGATGTCCTTTATCACTCTTGGATGCATCTCCTTTGCTTTCTGAGTGCTGTGCTGTGAGCCTAGAAAGGTTCCTGGGCAGTGCTCAGCTTGCAAGGTGGCAGATCTTTGCTGACAGTTGAAACTGATGGTACTGTTGGAACTGGAAAGAGTAGTGCTTGAGTGTAACCATTACCTTTGAGGATGAGCACAGACCAATTTAGAGCAGTGACCTCTACCTATATAGGGAAGCTCTCTGGAGTGTCTGTGACTCTTAAAGTTGCCTCAGTTTAGTGGGGCCAATCTTTACCATGTTCTCTCCTTCAGTAGCCATGCTTTTCTAGATGCCTTTTTCTTTGTTATTTCAAGGAAATAACATTTTGGGAGTTTGTGTCTCCTGTCTTTAGAGACTGTCAGATTTACACCCTTTTGATATTTCCTGCTTGCCTGAAAACTCCCTTCCAGAAACTCCCCACCCTAACCCCTGTTCTGCCTGAAAATACTTGATTTCCCTACCTTCTCACTTGTCATTAAGACATGCTACTAGGCTTCTATGGGGACTGGTCTGAAGTCTCCAGAGTGGTCAGACTCCCTAGAGCTTTACTCTGGAAGACCTTGCCTGTCTTTTAGAACCCTCTTTTTCTATCCAGATAAACTGCTGGGTTATTTTCACTACCACAGCAGTCCTAGTCACCACATGTTGGCTTGGATGGTGCTGACACCACGTTCCTGCTCACCTTGGCTCTGCTCCTGACAACTATGATCAGGTATCTCGGTATTTCAGCTAGAGATGACCGCTTCCTCCCCACCTCCCAGCCTGAATATTCCCAAGTGGTTTGAGATTCCACTGGGTCACCAAATGACTGCCTCACAGGGCCTCCCTCAGGGTAAACACCCCTGGCTGCTTACTCTAACCCTAGAGGGCCTAATGACTCTCTTTTCCTGGGCATTCTGCTGGTGGTCTGCCAGCTCCTGTTCTTGCCTCTGCCACCCAAGCAGGCCCCCTTGCAGCCTCACCACACCTTCCCCTCCCTTCTCCTGCTCTGAGCTAGTATACAGACAGCTCTTGTAAAGCTTCTGAGGGATTTTGCTGCTCCTAACCACCAGGGAACAGAAAGGGGCAGAAAATAAACAAGGAAGTTACACAGTTCCATGCTGACTCCCAGGCCCCACAGGTGGAGTTCTAGCCTGCTCAGTGGCTTAAGAGCCTATGCCAACACACACACACACACACACACACAAACAAACAAACAAACAAACACACCTTCTATACCTCTGTTTTGTTAGGTTGTTAGGTTTGGTAAGAAGAAAACAATGTCTCCTAAGTAAGGGGGCAGCTGTAGATTATCTAAAGGGCCCTGGTTTTAAATCCTCAGTTTGGTCTAGGTAGGAGCCTCAGTTTCCTTATTTGTAAAATAAGATATTTTTTCTTTTTCCTTTTTTTTTCCTTCTTAACAAGGTCCCTATAAGGATTATACCAAATGCTTACTAGGGCATCATGAGATCTACTTCCTGGCTTGGAGGAGAGCATTTGTTGATTTGGTGCTATGGTTAGGGTGACTGGCATGCCTAATGGAAATGCCCTCTGTTCTGTTCTGCTCTTTTATCTTTCTCCTACTTCCTAGGAGGCCTTTTCCTGACTGATTACTCCACCTGCTCACCCCGAAAGCTGAGTCCTTTTCGCTCCTTTGCCAGCACCGAGCTCTTCCACTTCCATGTTCCTGAAGACACATTCCTGGCAGTTTGGAACCTCATCATATTCAAGGAGCAGGGAGGAACCTTTGGAGATCACTGCCCAGATCAAAGTGTGACTGTGTAAGTGTCTGGGTTGCCCTCCCACTTCCCCTTCTAAATCCAGAACACTTTCCAAACTAAAGTGTGACTTTATGAGTATGTAAACTGATCTCTTGACCCTGATCTTGACCCTTATCCATATTGGAGGGTGACTGAGGGCTGTGAACTCTGTCATCTAACTACTTCCTGACTACTGTATAATAGTGTGAGCAACTGAGCTTACCCTTTTCCCCTTATAGCCTGAACTTCTAACCTGGAACCACTTTATTGTATGGGTCAGTATAGGGAATCCTTTGTTTTTCTGATGATGAGGTACAGTTCTCCTTTCTTTCCCCCATTTCCTATCTCCTATTCCATTGCCTGCTTTCCTTCTCTCCTAATTCTGGTCCCTCAGGTATTTCCGGTCCGGGGCACCCCCTGTCATCAATCCCCTGCATACACACTTCCCAGGGGACACAGCTGTGCCTGGGGTTTTCTCACTGACCCTCAGCTGGACATTGCCCAACCGCACCTCAGGCATCTTTAACGTCAGCAGCCCGTTACCTGGGGACTGGTTCTTGGCTGCCCACCTTCCCCAGGCGCATGGCCACATCTCTGTCAAGGTGGGTGTATATTGCCCAGGGTAGGAGGGATCAGAGTTGCCTCTCCATCTCTGCTGAATTTATTGCATGGGCTACCAGTCACACTAATCTTGAGCCAGGGTGGGCAGCAGCACAAGGGTGGTTGTGGTAGAACATGGCTTCAGGCCAGCAGGTCATTTGGTGAGATAGTCTGCAGGATACAACTTGGGAGCCTTAGGGAGATATAGTGGTTCCAGGAAAATGAAGACAAAGTCCATAACCTGGAATTAGAGGTTCTGGCACTGGGGTGTAGTGTCCCTTCCTATTGGAACTTACTAGGGTTAATCAAGGTGACCAGAAGCCAACAAGAGACTGGTCATATCTGCTGTACAAATTCAGCACTGGTCAAATCTGCTGTACAAATTCAGCAGTGTTGTTTCTAGGATCTTGTTTACATTTTGGCTGGTGAGATCCCTGAAGTCTCTCTTATTTCACAGCCTAATCTCTAGAACAAGAGGGAGTATGTTGCTCATCCATCATAGTTTCAGACAGCACTCCTCACCCTGTGGAAACCATAAGAGAAGCCCTCTTCTGTTAAAAGGAGATTTTGGGTGGCCAGTGTCCATTATGACTTGGCCTTCATTTGATTTAAATATCAGCACTGATTTTACAAAGCAGAGATTATTAAAGTCTAAAGGGCAGGTTAAAGGTCAGGGTGCTTCTCTGGTTGGGAGAGGAAGGAAATGTCACAGTGTTTTCCTGCCACTCTCATGTGTTTGGCTGGGTTTCCTCGCAGTTGTAAGGAGAGCTGTAAGTTTCCTACTCCTGTTTGTTGGAGAAGGGGGGAGGGCACGATGATTTGGACATTGTCAGAGTGGGATAGCCATATGTGTGGGGCTATTAGTAAGGGCAAAGGTCAAAGCATGAACAGAGAAAATATTTAAAGAACAGGACATTATAGAATAAGAAAGCTGGTGGAATTTTTGGTCACTGATAATTGGGAGTGGAAGAAATTCCCACCCAGGTCAATATTTGACTTTGATATATCTCTCCAGGATAAGTTTCTTGAGGAATGAGACAGTGATTGTGTCAGACTCACCTCTTCACTTCCTGTTGGAGTCCAGCATTAAGAACATGTGTTAATAATGCCTTTGAATGAGCTGTGAATTGCACAGGGACAAGTACACTGGCTTTGTTGTTGGCAGAGACATGAACTAGGAATGAGGTAGTCTCTGGAGGCCTCGATAATAGGCCTAGTTTTCCTAAGAGTGATGAGGAAGAGAGCCTGGGAGCCCTCTGGATGAGTTCATGCTGGAAGCTTACCTGGAAAAGGCTCTGGGATCTAGGTAGGCCTTGAGCTGTATCAGAACCAGGGAGGAATGTCTTCATGGGTCTTTGGCCAAATTTCAAAGAACCTGCTCCGAATCCCAACTCTGATCCTTGACTTGCTTTTTGAGAACTGATGAGGAGACTCTTCAATCCCTTCTCTAATTATCCATAATCTTCCTAAATGAGCAGAGGATCCTGGGGCTTAGTCCTGGGCTGGGATTATGGCAGCTGTGGCCTGAGTAGAAGTGGACAGGGTTTCTTATAGCTGCCAAATTGGGAAAATGGGGAATCAGAGATAGTAGTACAGAGAAAGGCTGCTCTAAACCTAAAGCATGATTCAAAGTGCTCAGATTAAAGGGAGCTGGGTAATAAGAAAAGAACCAGGTCTTATTTACTTCTATTTAGAACAAGTCCTTGCTACTGTAGCTGGAGCCTCAGCCAGCAGGGCTCCCAGGCAGCAATGTGACTAGGGGGAAAGGGCACAGCTCTTGCTCATGAGGTGGCAAAAGGTTTAGACACCAAGAAGATGTAACTCTTTAGCCAGTCCTGCTCTAGAGGTTAGTTGTGTGTGATCCTTCTAAGAATTTGATTGCCATCTGAACTCTTATACGCACCTCCAAGCTCTCCATACCATGGCTAGTTTTCCACACTCAAACCCATGGGTTTATGCCCAGAACATTCCTCCATCCTCTCTACTTGTGTAGTCCTTGTACCATGGTTGTTCTGACTTCCTGTGAGACTCGTCAAACACAGGAAGTTATGGAGAATCAGGAATAGACTTAGGTGAGAGCTAAAGAGTTCCAACAATGAAAAGGCAGTGTTGTTTCTAGGATCTTCCTCAACTCTGGGGATAAGCTCAGATAGCCTTTATTCCTTAGTCCTTTTGCACCTGCTTGTACTAGGCCTTGTGTTGGGTGCTGGGAACACTGGGGTAAATAAGATATATATTGGTGAGATACCGGAAATGTTTTAAGAGGACAAAGGAGAAATGGCTAATTCAGTTTGAGAGTTTGTTGGAGGTGATATTTGGCAAATGTTAGAGGAAGTAAGACCTAAGGATGAGGAGGGAAGGCATTCCAAATAATGGGAGTAACATAGGCCAAAGTTCAGAAGGGAGAACTGGAGTAGTTCAGTGTGGGCTGGGTGTTAGGTTGGGTGAGGAAGGTGGAGGGATTAATGGAAGTCATCTCTTGAAGGGCCTAGAAGTTTGAACTGTATCCTGAGACTGTTGAGGAGCCTGGAAAGGTTATAAGAGGGAAGTAATTTATCTGGTATAGGCTGCTCTTCTGAGCTCCAGTCCCACACTCTGCTAGAGCCCATATCTGCATTATTTATTACTAGTACCCAGAACATTATCTGATCCATGGTGGAGCCTTGGCAATTTTTTTTGCCCTCCTGCCACCTTCTCAAACTCTTATATCCCAAACTGACTTAATTTCTCCTCCTTCCCTTGTTGCCTTCTTCGTGTCAACCACTTCTGTCTTGTTTCCCTGTTCCCAATATCCTTGCCTTTCCTGTCTTGAAGAATGTGTTCGTTCTACAGTGCCTAGTTGCCAGCCTGCCTGGAGAGGCTGGCCTTTGGCTTGTAGATTTCAGCTGGCACCCAAATGGCTCATAAGGATACTTCATAAGGAGAAACTTCTCCTACATGGATAGGTGTAGGTTCTCCTCAAAGCCTTCCTCTTCTGGGTCTAAAATTTGAAACTAAATAAAAGGTGAAATAAAGAAAACAACCAAAAAGAAAACAAAGAAGCTGAGTTTATGGAGGAAAAGAACCTGTTCGATCCACTAACTAGGACTAAGTTTGACTCAATCTCACCTGAAGTGGTTCAAATCTACTAATAGTACCATTGCTATTTTTCCTCCTCCTTCTAAGTTATTGTATTTATATATTTCAAATAGGTAATATATGCACCTGGTACAACATTCAAATGGTACAAAAGGCGTACAGTGAAAAGTAAGTCTTCCCTTTTTCTCCTCCCAGTTCCCAGTTTCTCTCCTCAGAGTTAACTTGTAATCAGCTGTTAACTAGTTTCTTATATTACTCTTTCCTTCTTGAAGTACTTTCTCCTCTTGACCTTTGTAACATTATAGCACTGTCCTTGTTCTCCTTTCCACTACCCCTGACCCCCTCTCTTTCTCTTTTCCTGGCTGCTTCTCTGCTTGATCTGTATGTACTGTAGTGATCTGATGAATGGTCCTAGAACACCTCCTTTTTATTTTTTTATTCTCTTGCTTGGTGTAACCAGCACAATTGTTTAAAATATCATCTATGAGTTAATGCCTTTTAAGAGTAGGCAGCCAGTCCTAATTTCTTTGAATCTCAAACTCAATTTTCAACTGCTTATTTGGCATCTGCAATTGGATGTCCAAGAAATGTTTCAAGCTTAGTATGTACAAATCAAAGCAAAGTTAAAGGTAAAAAACTCTTTGATTCCCATTTCACTTCTTCCAATCCAAGCCTCTTCTTTTTCCAGCTATCTTCTTAGTAAACGTCACTGTCTTGATTCCTATTTTCTCCATAACCAATCCATAAAGAAAAATTTTTTGTCAACTTCTAAAGTGTTTCAATTCCATTTTTATCCATTTCCACTCTTAGTGTACCTTCTCTTAGCTTTCTCCTGGGTCACCATGTTAAACTCCTAAATGGTCTCCCTGCTTCTGCTTCTGCCCCTTGCAGTCTCTCTGGCCATCATTTACTTTCCTGTTGAGTTGGTGCTGACAACTGTGGGCAAGGGAGCTGTGCCAATAATAGGCTATTTCCAGAGAAGGCCAAGTTTCTTTGGGCATCTTCCATCTTTTAAAGAAATGCAGCTCACCCATACAAAGACATTCCAGAATCCATCTACCTTGTCTTCCACACCAGGATCTTTCAGATTGTTTCTCGTCTACTTCTAATTCTTGACTCTCTGGTTTCTTGAGTTTCTTTGCTTTGAACCTGTTCCTTCCATGGCTGTTAATGTTGGCTTGGTCTGTTGGTTTAGTCTGAACTCTCTTACATGGTTTCTGCCTTGTCAGTTCTTGAGGACCTGACTTCTGGGCCCTTTCTCTGCCCTGTAACTTCTCTGTTTTCTATTCCATATCGAGGGAAGGGGCTGGACATGCATGTTTTACAGTTGAAGGAAGGAGCCCATTTTAACTAGAGAAGTCATGTCATATGATCCTTACTGAAGCCCACAGCAAATAGCAAACAAAATGTGGAACAGTGTTTATATCCCTGAACTGTCTAGCAAGGAAATGGGCTACTTCCTGAGCATGAGCCCCACCCTCAGGACTCACTCACTGAAAGATTTTTGTGGTGATTTCCAACTTAAGAGGTGGGGCCACTGAAATGCCTTGTTGAGAGTATTTCTGATCCTTAGGGTATGACACCATAAATGACAGACATGTGCTTTGTATATCAGAGAGGGAAATTTGTGAGCAACTAGATTGTTCAGTAGCTCTTTGGAAGAACCCACTTTTGACACTTAACTTACTTGATGGCTATTATTTCAACTTGATGGCTGTTTTTCTTCAGCACCCAGTGTATGCCAGATCCATGCTAGGCACTGGGGATGCCATTCTTGTTCCAGGAAGAGGATAGTGAGATCTTCTGGCTGTCATCTCTCAAGGCCTCCTTCCAACCTCATGGAACTTGGCAGGGAGTCAGTATCTTGACTGGATTATTCCATGGCATGAAACTCAATGGAATGTCAGGGCCTAGAAATTTTATTTCAGAACAAGGTTTGGAGGTATGTCCTGGTCAGAATAACCACATAAGTGGGTCATGGCCTTACTTTCTTGGGCCAGCAGAAGACCATTTGTCCAGAAGATTATAGGAAACAAATTAGGAGACCACTCTGTCCCTTAACTGTTAGGTTTTTAGAATTATGTATCTGAAAATGCTGGAGAAGAGGCACCATAACAAATGGGACTGTGTTCACTGGAGTAATGGGGCTCAGTTGGCTGGGGTGGTGTCAGTGCAGTAGAGAAGAATGGGCTAGGTAAATTGTCCAGGACAAGATAAGCTGGGGGAAATGTTGTCCTCCAGTGTCAGAATAAATAGTCTCAGGCTGAGGAGACAGGTGTAACTGTGGGTCTCAAGGACAGAGAGGTGGGAAGGGGATTCAAAGATGATAGGTTTTGGCTTCAAAAATGTTCGAGCTGCCCCAAGCTGGTATGTTTCACTATTGATTCATTTATTTATTTTTATTTTGTTTATTTATTTTCATGTTGTGCTGAAGATTGAACCCAGTGCCTCACATGTGCGAGGCAAGAGCTTTGCTGCTGAGCCACAACCCCAGCCCCTATTGATTCATTTATTAAACAGACATTTATTATGTATTTTGTATACTACATTTGGCTTTATATCTGAAGGAACAAAAATAAAATAAAACAAAGGTTCTTGTATTCAAGTTACAAAGAGTCTGGAGATTGCCTGAGAGGTGATGAGTAACCCTCACTGGGAGTATCGAAGCAGAAACTAGACAAGGGAGGGAACAAGGTGGGACATAAAAGCAGTGAATGATTCAGATGGTGGTGGTGGTGGTGGTGGGAGTTGGCTAGGAAGGCTTGAATGAGCTTCCCCTGACCCCCACCCCCCAGAGAGCCAGTGTTCTGGTCAGGGAATGGGGTGGTTTGAAATTACAGCATCTTGGGGCTAGATAGGAATGCTAAAGAGAGAGGGTTGGGTTGGGAGAAGCACAAGGGCCTGATTATTGGGTGGGTTTGGGCTTAAGTCCCCAAATCTGTCAGTGCTGAGGATCACAGCAGACTTTGAAGACCCCGGTAGACAGAGGAGATCAGAAATGACTGCTCAGGCAGGAAGGACCAGAGCTTAGAAAGACCACAGTCAGAGCCCTGGGATCAGGTGGACAGGGGAGGGGGATGGGCAGGGAGGGTTCTCTCTAATCTGTTTAGCAGATTCCTTAGCTTTGGTTTACTAGCACCCCTGCTGTCTCTCCTGCTCCTGCCACCCTTGCTTCTGTCTCAGGGTCTCCAGGATGAGTGTCAGTATCTCCTTCAACCGCAGCTGATTGTCCGGCGTTTGCTGGACGTGGCTGTACTGGTTCCTGGCCGACCCTCAGAGCAAACCCTTTTTCCACACAATCGCTCAGCTCTGTACAAGTAAGTCAAATACTCTATACTGGGCCCCTTTTCACTTCCATGTTGGATCTTAAGCAGATGGCAGGGTTGTTTTGGTTTCTCAGCTACCTGCCTGGTCCTGTTCATCCTCTGGCTGAACTAGATGGCTGGGTGACCCAGAACCCCCAGGGTGGGTTGGATTCCTGCCTCCTCTTTTCTAGCATAGAGGGCAAGACTTGAAAAGGCCACCTATGCTCCTGTGTTTCCTATCCCCTCCCTGTTCCCTTCTTCCTCATGTTTCCCTCCTTCTGGTGTCCCTCTCACCTCACTGTCCTTTCTTGCCCCCAACCTCTCCTCTGCCCAGGGTCTTTGTGCCCAGCTTTACTTACAGGGTTTCAGCGCAGCTGGTGTGTGTGGGGGGCCGAGGGGTGTCTGCCTGCCCTCTGACACTGCGCCTACGTCCCAAGGCCCCACCCTTGCACAACTCAAGCTCCGTGGCCTGTGGCGGTGCCTCAGTATGCCAGCTGGAGCTGGCACTGCCCCCCTGGGGGCACTGGGTCTACGTGCGTGTGGAGACATCATACCGGGGCCCTGGCAGGACCATCCGCTTCCAGCTATGTGTGTGGCTACAAGGTCAGAACCCTCACATGTACCCCAGTCACTCAGCCTGTACAAACATCCATGACTGGGAAATGATCTGGATTGCTGCGTTCAGTGACCCTCTGCCATATCTCTACAATCTTCCCCATCCCACCCAGGTTTCTTCACATTCCCTGAATCCCCCACAATTTGGGCCTCCAAATCATTAATGGCATTGAGATCATTGTTTTGCACCTGCCTTGAGATAGCTGATGACTCTTCATTATTTTTCTTGATTTAAACCTCTTTCAATTTCCTGGGGTAGGCAGGAACAGCTAGGATTTCTGGGGATACTATCATTGCCAAAGTCCATGCAATTCAGTGAGATGGTCTGTCATACTTAGTTACCTGTTTCAACAGTGTTTCACTGCCCTTAGGGGAGGGACAGATGACCTTGATTCCTTCAACATGATGTTATATTAGCTGTGTCCACTGGGAAACACCTGGACCCTGTCTTGCAAGCTGGATGCCCTACACTCCCAAGAGATATCATATTCTAGTTCTTACCCCTCATATCCTTTGAAAATTCCTGTCTGGCTCAGTTCTGGTTTGTGGTGTGGCTGTAGGGCTGTGAGGGCTACAGGTGTCAGCTCTGGTTTCTTCTGCTTTACAGAGTGCCCACAGCCCAGTCTGTCCCGTGCCCTGGTCCCTGGAGCTGCTATGAACATGCCTCAATCACTGGGCAACCAACCACTTCCTCCAGAGCCACCATCCCTGAGGACTCCTGCAGAGGGGCCTGAGGCCACATCTCCACCTGAGCACTGCTGGCCAGTGCGCCCGACTCTGCGCAATGAGCTGGACACCTTCTCTGTCCACTTCTACATCTTCTTTGGACCCAGTGTGGCTCTTCCACCTGAGCGCCCAGCTGTGTTTGCCCTGAGGCTATTGCCAGTTCTGGATAGTGGAGGTGTCCTCAGCCTGGAGCTCCAGCTCAATGCGGTACTCTTTTGTAGAATGGAGTGGTTGTCCTGTGGGGGAGTTGAAGGGGAAGGTGTCAGCGGTGTGGAGGGCCTTGCTTCCTCCAAAAAGCCAGTCCAGACTGCTTCCACCTAAGCTATTGAATGGGTCACTTCCACCTATCCAATAAGACCGTGCTCCCATTTTAAGAGAACTTGTCTCAGTCCAGTTTTGGTCAGAAAGCATGCTCTGCATATTGACTCTGCTGAGAACAGGCTGGGTCAGCCAGGGCAACTCAGAGTGGTCTGAGTTTCCATTTTTGTAGGCTGACTGCCTTTGCAGAGGGCCTCTCTAATGGTAATTGGTAATTGTTCATTTTTTTCTTGCATATCTTCTGTAAAGAGGGGCTCACCACTTCTTGTGGCCAGGCAGTCCTTGTTTGGGTAGCTCCTTTTGCCAGTGATGTTTCTGACATTCCATCAAAGTCTGCCTGCAAGATTTTTTTTTTTTTAATCTTTGTCTTGCTCAGAAGTCATAGCTAGTAAATCTATCCCTGTCCTTTTAAAAAAATTAATAGACGTGCTAGGCACAATGGCACATGCCTGCAATCCCAGCAGCTTGGGAGGCTGAGGCAGGAGAATCTTGAGTTCAAAGCTAGCCTCAGCAAAAGCAAGCTGCGAAGCAACTCAGTGATACCCTGTCTCTAAATAAAATACAAAATAGGGCTAGGGATATGGCTCAGTGGTTGAGTGCACCTGAGTTCAGTCCCTGGCATCAAAATAAATAAATAAAATAAAATTAATAAACTACTTTTTTAGCGCAGTTTTAGTTTATAGAGTGAGCAGAAAGTACTCAGTTCAATGCCCTTCTCTGTCTGCACAGTGTTCCCTGTTACTGACATCTGATCTTGGTGAGGTGTGTTCACTATATCCCTATTGTATTTGAACAGCCCTCTGATGTTTCCCTTTAGATTCCCCAAAGTTGAAACAACCTTGGTGACTTGGGCCCCTAGTATTCAGATCTTTCTTTATCTGCCACTTCTTCTCTGGTCATACTTCTACTGGTCATCCTGTCTCTGAAATAAATGATCTGAGGTAGTCTGACCAGAGTGGCAGGCAAACCTTGCCTTAGATTAAGTGAGGTCCAGTGAGGTCTGGAAGGGTGGCTGGTGTAGGAGTCTGGCGGGAGGTGGTGGACCCACCTGAAGAATCTGACAACCTCATCTCAATACCTTTTCCTACAGAGCTCTGTGCGCCAAGAAAATGTGACAGTGTTCGGATGCCTGACTCATGAGGTGCCTTTGAGCCTGGGGGATGCTGCAGTGACCTGTTCCAAAGGTGGGGTGAGGAGTAGGAGGGAGAGGAGGCTGATGTCTGGGCTTGGTGGGAGATGGTGTGGAGGAAGGACAGGGTCTCTGGGCAGTGGGTAAAGGTGGGTAGAAGGTTCCTGGATCCTGACCCCAGGCTGACTGCTTCTCCTCCCTGTCTCTCATGCTTCTTCTTTCTTCCCTCTCCCTTCCCTCTTCAGAATCCCTGGCTGGCTTCCTGCTCTCAGTCAGTGCCACCTCCAGAATGGCCAGGCTACGTATCCCATTTCCACAGACAGGGACCTGGTTCTTGACTCTCCGCTCCTTGTGTGGTGTAGGGTCTCGGTGAGCAGTGCAGCATGGATGGGGGTGGAGTGGGGAAGACCCCGGCTCCAGGTAACAGTCATTGTGTGTACAGGTTTGTGCGGTGTCACAACGCAACTGCTGAAGTGCGGCTGCGCACTTTCCTGTCCCCGTGTGTGGATGATTGTGGACCCTACGGCCAGTGCAAGCTGTTGCGTACACACAATTACCTATATGCAGCCTGCGAGTGCAAGGCTGGTGAGCATGCTGGCAAGGGAGTGGGCATGCTGGCCTTCCTGACCCTGGGAGGTGGCTTGGAGTGGGGAAATGCTGGGCCCCAACATGGGCTTAGGACTCTGGGGGCCAGCAGAAGTATCTGCTGAACTTGTGGCTACCTCCTGTTCTCTACCCTGTGCCCTCCCTACCTACAGGGTGGCGGGGCTGGGGCTGTACCGACAGTGCCGATGCACTCACCTATGGATTCCAGCTGCTGTCCACGCTTCTACTCTGCCTAAGCAACCTCATGTTTTTGCCACCTGTGATCCTGGCCATTCGGAGCCGGTATGTGCTAGAAGCTGCCGTCTACACCTTCACCATGTTCTTCTCAACGGTATGTGATGCATCTTTCTCTTTACCATGTTCTTGTCCATAGTGATACATGAGGGTCTGCATTTCCATCATGTTCTCTACAGGCTGGGGGATGCATACCTTTAGGATGGCTTTTATAATAGTATTCCAACCTCCCATGGCATGCATTGAAAGTGATAGTTTTGGTAAAGACCTTGGGGTAAAAATGAACAAAGCTGTTTGCAACTGAATACAACAGGGTGAGACTCTAGCTGCCCCATACTCTGTTCTTCTGGAGGGCCAAGGACAACTCTATTCAGCACACTGGCCAGGAGACAATACAGAAGTATGTCTATACCTTCACTCTGATCTCCTCTGGGTGGGGACAGGAAATCTATGCTTTTACCCATATCTCTGCATTGAGTCTTCACCATCATGTTCTTTCTTTTTTTTTTTTTTAATTTTTTAGTTGTAGATGGAAACAATATCTTTATTTTTTATTTATTTATTTTTATGTGATGCTGAGGATTGTACCCAGGGTTGTATGGTTTGAGGCAAGCGCTCTACCACTGAGCCACAACCCCAGCCCCTCATGTTCTTTCTTGATATGAGCTCTAGCTCCTTTGTGCTCATGTTCTCAATCATCCTGGGGGAATTTCTATTATCTTTAGCATGTTCATCTGTAGCGCATGAAGATATGTCTCCCATTCAGTCACCATGGGCTTCTTGACTTCTCATAGGAACTTTTGGAAGGCAGAGGAGATTTAGAGACAGGTAGGAAAGCCTGGGTCTCAGATACTTGGTCCTGAGATATCGTGGGATATGGCAATGTGATCTAAAATCCCAGCTCAAAGGAGTGCATTTTGATATAGATTTGTAGAATTTTGTTGTTGTTGTTTTGAGATGGGGTCTCACAATGTTACCCAGGCTTGTCTGGAACTCCTGAGCTCAAGTGATCCTCCCACCTCAGCCTTTTGAGTAGTGAAGGGCTACGATGTATGCCACCATACCTGGAAAGATTTGTAGTTTGGAGTCCCTCCATTCTCAATAATGGAATCTCCATGATTCCTCCCCTGAATTTTTCTACTTCTCTTAACCATAAAAGTTCATATCACAAACAAAAATTTCAGGTACTATTAGGGAATGTAGAGAAGTGAATCTACTAATGTGATTTTCCCCAAAGGAGACTTTATGCCCCACCAAGATTCTACATCTAGGGATCTTGTCATCTCATCTGTTCTTGGCATCTTATGGCATAGAGTGCCTGCCCATGAGTACTGCAGGAATCTTAGAGGGATTCAGACTGTCCTCATGTCTTGGCAACAAGGATACCACAGAAACCACTGGTGCCTCCCTGGTGTCCAGCACTACTAGATCAGACATATGTCCACGTTACAAAAACCTACTTGTCATCTGGGAGAAAGTAAAGGTCCAATGTGCTGAAACTGAGGGTCCTACCACCTGACCCCCAATGCTGGTCCCTGGTTGAGGAAGTGTGGGCTACAACCATGTTGCACAGACAGACCTTGACCCTTTAAGCTGCATGAGAAGAACATAGCCCAGTTTTTCTTGGTTGGGTCCCTTTTCAGGCCTGCTCTGATAGTGGCTCACTCTATTTTTATATTAGACACTGTCTCCCCTTCTCATTGCCAGATGCCCTCCATGCTGTTGCTCACCAAATCCTGTAGCAACAGCTGTTCCACCAGCCCACTCTTGGCTTCATGCAGGTGGAATGTGATTCACAACTGGTATAAGTGCTTCAGTGTGTCAGGAGCATAGAGTGTGTGGGGAGAGCATATTCAGTCCCCTGGACTTGGCACAAGCATCCTGGGCATTGGCTCCAGAGTGTTCTAGGCTGGATGACCTTTCCTTTTCTGGATTCAATGACATGTTGACTTGAGAACAAAAGACCTTCTTTTCCCTAGTAGGAGTGCTGAGAGAGAGAGAGAGCTCCCACTTTCTCAAACCAGGCAAGAAGCAAGAGAGTAAGGAAGAGCTTCTGGCTTTAGGTGTTGGCTGGAGTCCTTCTCTGACTCCTGTTCTTTTATTACATGGGCCAAAATGAGAGGTCCTGGTCATCCAGTTTCCAGGGAAGTTTCCCTATAGTCTCTCCTTTCCCATTCTTTCAGGAGTCTAGACTTGTTTCATTCTGCAGCAGTTCCATTTGAGGAAGCATTGGTCATGTTGCAGTTGACAGTACCAGGGCAGTAGATGACAATCAGGTTCCTTGTCTTAAAATCTAGGATACTATACTCCTGGGATTGTTACATGGGTTCCTAACCAGGGCACAGAAGCAGAGAGCAGGTTTATAATTCAAAAGTTTACAGATATGAAATATAGGGGGAAAAACAGGCCACAAGCTTGCTGTTGATTTTGTATGTAGTCAAACAGTTCAGATAATAACAGCAAAAAGACATACATGTACTGAATATGTGTTGTGTCACATTCTGCTAATTTAATCCTTACAGTAGAACTATATAATAGGTAGGTCTTTTTATTCTTTTTAAATTTTAACTTTTTGTAGATGAAGGAAAGTTTTATACTTTGTCTAAGAGAGAAGGTGAATGGTAGAGCCTAGATTCTCATTCAGCCTGACTCCAGGTCCCTTACGAATAATCATTGAGATATATTGCTCTTCTGATATCCTGGACAGTGAAATTATTCATAAATTTCTAATCTGACTTCTGTTCTTCTGATATCCTGGCATATATAAACTCACGACCTTAGATTAGTAGTTCTCCCCACATTCTTGTGATAGTTTTTTTTTAAATTTGTAAATATATATGGATAGAATGCCTTTATTTTATTTGTTTATTTATTTTTTTATATGGTGCTGAGGATAGAACCCAGTGCCTCAGGCATGCTAAGCAAGTGCTCTGCCACTAAGCTACAGCCCCAGTGTGATAATTTAAAAAAATTTTTTTTTCAGTGCTGGGGATTGAACCCAGGACTTCATACATGCTAGGCGAGTACTGTATCACTGCACCACATCCCTAGCCCTTCTCCAGTTCTTAAATAATATACCAAACCAAACCAGGAAGAACACTGCAATTGTGCAGTGCTCACCCCTTCGGTGCAAGCCACAGATCCTTCACAGTGCTACTTATAATCAGATCCCAAAAGGCCCAGTTAGAGCCCACATCGTGGGCTATGCAGCCTTCCTTGCTGATTGCTGACATCCTGGCAGCAAGCCCACCCTCTCATTACCTCTTCAGTTCCTTGACCTGCCACATGTAATTCTCAGTGGCCCTTAGCAAAATCCCAAAAGTGTTTCCAAGAGAAAATGAATTTAGGAAACAAAAAAATGAGAGTGACAGTTAAGTTACAGTATATGCTGAGTGTAAGTATCCCAATGTGTGCATGGGTACCCTGTTTTGGAGCATTAGATGAAGTATATTATAAAAATGTTAAATTGTATAGAAAAAAGAATTTAGGATAATTTTCCCAAATTTACTTCAGATAGAATATTATGTTAAATAAAATAAGTTTGACTTATAATATCAAGGGTTGATTTGGACACTAGAGAGAACAAAGGAAAGAAGGTGGGATGGGGGCACGAAACTCTTGAAAACAGATGGGAGACCAGTAGAAAAAGGGGGAGAGGAGTGAAAGAGGAATTAGATTGACCAAATTGTGTTATATGCATGTATAAATATGTCACAGTGAATCCCACTGTTATGTATAACTGTACCAATTAAGAAATAAAACATACAAATGTCCTCATATATAGTATCCAAATCTGAGAAAGTCATTAATTTGGATTAGAATTATTTTAATAGAATCCAGTTTGTAATGGAAAATTTTAAATTCCCGTTTTTCTGTGTCATTTCTACCACTTTTTATTGCTGTTGACAAAAAATACCAATCTAAAAATAAGCCCACACATTTCAATGGAACAATTCCCTCACATGGCAATTTAATTTAACCCTACTCCTGTGGAGTTTCCACAACCTGAAACAATCACTACGACTTTTTATTGTATTAGGAGAATTCTAGTCACAGAATATCAGTGAGATGATTTCTCTAAAACATCTCTACTCCAGAGACAATATATGCATTCCCCCGAGTCTTTTTTTCAGTGCGTAGAAATTCCTAGAGAAAGTCGGCTCTTAATGTGTCTTCACTATTTGGTTAATTCAACACTGCTGATCTGTATCTTCCTTTATTTTTGATCAAATGATTCATTACAAGTTCTTCTTCCAGACACTTTGGGACATTCCTTTCTATATACTTGAAAGTCATGTATATGAAGCAAATGCTTAGTTAAGCCTGAAATATAAAAAGATGTTTGAAAAAAAAACACTCTAAAATGTGAAATAGTTTGGGTAATTTGGTGGCTGTAGTGCTTACAATCTGGTCTTAGAAGTGGAGAATAATCAGTGTTTTATAGCTAAAATAGAAAAAGATAAAAATGTTGATTTGTTTAAGAACAAAATCAATCAACAATTAATCAGCATGTGTAAGAGAAAAATCTGAAAAATAAACAAATCTCAGGCATAGTCAAACATTAATTCTCCGTAGTGTAGGAGAGGTGGATACTGTCCCCATATTGTTCCCTGTGGTGTGAAGCACCATGTTGTTCTCCTGGGCCTTGATGACTGCCTTTTTGCCTACTGTGTGCTCCCCTTGGCACTGGATGGGAAGGGATGAAGAAGGCCAGTGTGTGCAAGTCCTGAAAGTGAAGCCCATTTCATAATCCGATCGATCTATCAGGAGAAACTGGAACATTTAAGGGAATTGGCGGGTCTAGGCTTTCAAAGAGGCCAGAGCTAGACCCAAAGCGTGGGCCAGGGATGGCAATTATTGATGGAACCTATGATGAGCATGAGGAGAGAGGGAAGGGATTGACCTCATCTTGAGAGATGTGTGCTCCCCTACTCCTGGCCTGGCACACTTCACAGCACATTCCAGAAGTGGAAAGATTTAGAAGGCGAGGACCAAGGTCAAAACTTCCAGATGCTTATGGCTTATGAGGCAGACCTGGCCTCCTTACCACATTCTTCTCAGGAGTGGGGAGTTGAGCATTTCCTGGTTCTTCTCACCTGTGGTCTCTCACCTCTGCTTCTCTGACAGCAGTATACCACCCCTGTGGCCTCTTTCTCTAGTTTTGTAGACCTAGATCTTGGCCCCAAGTTCCTTTAACACCTGTCATTTCTTCCTCCAGTTCTATCATGCCTGTGACCAGCCAGGCATTGTGGTTTTCTGCATCATGGACTACGATGTGCTACAGTTCTGTGATTTCCTGGGCTCCCTAATGTCTGTGTGGGTCACTGTCATTGCCATGGCTCGGTTACAGCCCGTGGTAAAGCAGGTCAGTTTGGATTGGGCCCTGGGGGACAACCATAGCCAAAATCTACTTGAAACCCACTCCTGCCTTCTCCCTGGGGGATTTTCCAAGTACCTCTGTCCATTCTGGCCCAGTCCCTAGAGTGCTGTCACTTGGCATTAGCCCAGCCCCGGAGTCCTCTTTCCCTAGGTGCTGTATTTACTGGGGGCTATGCTGCTGTCCATGGCTCTGCAGCTTGACCGACATGGACTCTGGAACCTGCTTGGACCCAGTCTCTTCGCTCTGGGAATCTTGGCCACAGCCTGGGTAAGGGCTGGGAGGCTGTGTGTGTTGGGAGGCAAGGGAGGAAGACTTGGATGAAGGGCCCTGGCCATCTGCTCTCCGTTTAAGGTGGGCATGGATTCTTGTTACCACCTGCTGTTCATTGTGTACACTGTAGTCTTGGCAGGTGCCTTTAGGTCACAGCTAGGGCTCATGGGAAGCCTGAGCATGACTGGCTTTGGCTTGGGTCCCAGGGCCTTACATTTCTGAGCCCCATTTCTCTGCCTCCCCTAGACAGTACGCAGCGTCCGCCGCCGGCACTGCTACCCACCCACGTGGCGCCGCTGGCTTTTCTACTTGTGCCCAGGCAGCCTTATTGCAGGCAGTGCTGTCCTCCTGTACGCTTTTGTGGAGACCCGGGACAACTACTTCTACATTCATAGCATTTGGCATATGCTTATCGCTGGCAGCGTGGGTTTCTTACTGCCTCCTCGTGCCAAGACTGACCACCGGGTCCCGTCTGGAGCCCGGGCCAGGGGCTGTGGATACCAACTGTGCATCAATGAGCAGGAAGAGCTGGGCCTTGTGGGCTCAGGAGGGACCACTGTCAGCAGCATCTGTGCCAGCTGAGTGGGGCTTTGGGCCAGGCCCCTGAGGTTATGAACCCTTCCTAGGGATTTTCCTGGGAATGTGGAGCCCTCCTGGTGCCAAGAGATTGTTGTATTTCTTGAGGACATGGAGCATTTCTCAAGGACATCAAACTCTTCCAGGGACCTGGAGCCCTTCCAAGGACATGGGGAACTTCCTGAGGGCTTGGAGTTCTTCTGCAACCATGGAGTCCTTCTTAAGGACTGGAGCTATGCAGGGCAGAGAGCCCCCTCAGGACCAAGGAGTCCCTCCTAGGGGCATAGAGCCCCTAGGATATGGAGCCCTCCTATATAGACACTAGGGAGACACTGCTCTGTTAGGAATGTGGCATTGTTCCAGAGGAAATGGAGTCCATCTTGGGGAAACTGAATCTTAAGATTTTCCCAGAGACTCAGCAACTCTGGCCTCAGGCTTCCTTCCCAGAAGCAGCATCTGGGCCTGTGCTGTGCTGGAAAGGGAGGATTGTAGGACAGACGTAACTGGAACTGGGGCTGGGTGGCTGACGTCCTGAATTGATGCAGGTGGGATCTGGAGTGTCTCCAATGAAGTATGTGCTGGTTCTGTGCTGCCTTTTTCCCCTGGGCTCAGGGAGTGGGGAGAAGAGGAGGAGAGGGTCCCTGAGGTAATAGAAGGGGTGACAGGACCCCAGCCTACAGGAGCTGCTGGGAGCCTACTGTCTGAGGCTTCTGCCCTATCATGTACACTCCTGCATCCCTCTCATCTGGTCCCTGTGTTCATTTCTAAACAGTTCCTGGTGCCTACTTTTCAATTCCTGTGGGACCTAGACTGCAGTAATTAAGAGGGGTGTGTGTGTGTGTGTGTGTGTGTGTGTGTGTGTGTGTGTTGGTCACATATAAGCATGCACGTGTTTGTGTATGCTGAGATGCTTGAATCAGTGAGACAGACCTCCTTCATGATAAGCCCACACTCACAGGAAGGAAGCTGAGGTGCCAGGAAATTAAGTGACAGGTACAAAGTTCAGCTGTGCAAGAAATATCACAAGAATGTCACTTCTATTTTGAGCCTCCATTTTTTTTCTGAGTACCAGAAACAATCTTTTGTTAATTAGGATTTAATAATTTCCATCAGGGTCATAGCTGAGTTCTGAGGGTTTTACAAAATGCCAAGATATTGATGTTGAAAGGAGCATTCTCTCTCGCCTCCAGAGAGAATGGCCTCACCCATCCACTGAGACTTCCATCATCCCATTTGGTTCCCAGTTAGCATTCCAGGTAAGTCATCTGGATGAGGGAGAGATCTTGTTCCTATCTATATAACCCTTCTGGTTTGAAGGTCTGTGCCACATGCAAAGACCTACAAGATTGTCTAAGGCCTTTGTTATGTGGACACCATGAAGCCATTTCTACTGTGGGGTCCTTTTCTGAGTTTCTCTTGACAAACAAGGCATAAGTTGCTCTTTTAAATCCTACAGACCCACGCAGGGGCTTGGCTCAGGGCCCCTCCCTTTGGGATCTTTTTGTGGCAGTGATATCACTTCATTTCCTCTTCCTTTCTCTTCCTCCATTTGTTAATCTTAAGGAGAGGATGGGGGAAGCCTTATTGTTACTTGCCATGTTTTCTCCCAAATCTTTTATCTGTGCCTTAAGTTTTTTTCTGTTCCCTTTAGGGACTAAGCTTTTGATCCTCAAATGCCAGGAAAATCTCCCTTTATCCTCTCCTCCTACAATCGCATCTCTTCCTTGGAGTTACTTAGTAGAGAATGATGTGGCCAAATGAATTGTGAGAATGAAGATATATGACCTTGGTGTCTGTTTTTACATCAGAAATTTTATTTTCTTTCAATACTCATTTGGATAGAGCCATGTTACTAAGATGCTTGAACCCAATTAGCTGGGATTCAGGATAGAGTTAGTGGAATCCAGAAGACACTGGAATAGGCAACCGAGCTAGGACACACCTCACTCTGCTAGGATGGGTTGGAAGGGGCTTCTGGAAATGAGGGGCTTGAATGAGGATTAAATGAATTTCTATAATGCCAAGATGTTGGGAGAGTGTTCTCTGAGGTCGCCAAGTCCATGTTATATCCCTTCCACAAGATTCTTATCATTCCATCTGGTTCCCTTTCAGTAAAAAACTTAGAACAAAGCATATTCCCTAGGCTAGTGTGTGACGTGTATCCAATATATGCTAGTCAAAGGCCGTGGAATACTGGGATGTGGGGGGAGACTGAGGGTGAGACACAGGCAGGAAGGAAAGATATTTACTCAGAAAACTGAAGAGTGCAGTGCGTATGGGCCATGTTTGTTTGTGTATGCCTATGTGCATTTGTGCGTGCGTGTAGTGGGGTGTTGTTGGAATGCAGCCAGTGATGTAGTTGGACAGGTAGGTGGGTTCTGGTCTTTGCTCAATAGGAAATGAGGAACTGGCTGGTGCAGGGGACAGGTTTTAGGGAGAGTTTGGAAGATGAGAGTGCAGTTATACAACTGTTGCACTATTTGAAAGAGAAATAGTAAAAACTTTATGTGGCATCAGTAGAAAGGAGGGGACCACTTTAAGAGCTCTTAGGAGATAGATGGTGCAGGACTTAATAACTGATTGAACATGTAGGTGGTGAGGTGTGAGAGAAAGTCTAGGATAACCACTATGTTTCTTACTTGGGGTGATGGTGTCACTGAGATGGTCCCACCACTTGAGGTTGAAAATGATTTAATTTTGGACATTTTGAGTTTGAGGTGCCTATAGGTTCATGGGGGGAGGGGATTAGCAATAAAACCAGGCTGGGTATAGCACTCAAACCAGGCCTAGAGCCCTTGTCTCTCCCCTAGCTTGTCTTATTGGTGACAGGCCAAGAACCAGACCAGCCCTGCCTTCTATAAGGATGGGGCTGTGGTCAGCTGTGTTAGTGCTCATTTCACATATCTTTACACAGCCACACTCTTAATTCCTGACCACTGGCAACTGCCTGTAGCACATTCAGCACCACAGAGCTCAAGCCCCAATGGTGAGCTGCTGGGTGAACATTTAGTTCAGAAAAACTGCTCCTGGGAAAGCCCTGAGGGCTATAGAAATAGGTAAGATATGCTGACTTCCAGTCCTGAGGGAACTCAAATGGTGGTGAAATCGCACAAAAGAAAGGATGAAGTACCAAGGGAAAGGTGCCATAGGATGTAAAGAGGACAGTCTCAAAGTGCATCAGAGAAGATTGCATGAAAGAGATGGTGTCTGAGCTGGCTTTGAAATCTCATCCCAGGGTGACTGAGAACAGCAGGAGCAAAGACCTGGAGGTGGAGAAAGCGCAGCGGATGTAGTAAGGGGCCAGCCTGTGTGGAGGGGGAGAGGAAATCAGGCCAAAGAAGCAGATGTAGCCAGATTCTGGGGAACTTGAAGACTAAGCAAAAGAATTTGAACTTAATGCTATGGTGATGGGGAACCATGAAAGATTGTTGATCCACAAGAGTGATAAATCAATTGGGATTTCACATTAAATGGCAAAACCACTATGAGAGATGTAAGAAATTTCATTCAGAGACTAGATGGACACAGTCATGGGAGCAGCTGGAGAAACCAATGAAAACTGGTACCTCTGCATTAGGTGTTGGGCATAAAGTTGCTCCAGGCCTCCTGGCTGGCAGTCAAAAGGAAAATTGAGTGTGAAAGGGGGAGAGGAAGGGCAACGGAGAACCCAGGATGACCAGTGTCTGGCTCTCAGTGCCTTCAAATTCATTGACATAGGTGACTTGAGGGAGTAGCTGGCACCTTTTGCCATGGAGCTGAACCTGGCCCAGACTGAGGACAGCTGAAGGAGGAAACATGGCCAGAACTAGGAGAGCCAGTGCATTGGTAACATAATGTCCCCCAAGGCCTGGTGCTGTTCACCTTTGCCTTCCACCCTATGTGCATTTATCTTATGGGCAAACACAGCCCACCCATAAGGGAAGGAAATCCCAAGAAGCACATTTCCAATCTAGCTTGGATGACCCATTGGAGAGCTATAAGTGAGCTAAGCTGGGCTTTCTTGAGATGATTGATCAGGCAGCAGCCTGTGAAGGAAACACCATGAAAGAAAAGGAAACCAAATCTCTACGAGCACCTGGATAGGAGCTGCAGCATAGCGTATGGTCATTGGGTACTCACAAACCTCTCAGTCCTTTTGACCTATCACACACATTCTCCATGTGAATCTCCTGTCCTTGATGTTAAATGTGACCATGAGCCTGGTGTTGATCAAAGGAATGTGAGTGGAAGTAGCATGTGTCACTTCTGAGTGGGAACTAAGGTCAGTTCAGGCTGTGTTACCTTCTCTTCTCCTTTTGTTGTGATGCCTAGCCATGTTGCAGATGGTAACTGCTTTGTCATTATGGGTACCAGAAAGGAGAAGATAAGGATTCAGAGCAGAACCCCAACTAAGTCCTTATGGACCTGGGGCATAAACAAGAAATCGATTGGTTTTAAGCCACTGAAATATGAGGGAGGCCATTACCACAAGATAGGTTAGTTCATCCTGACAGAGACAGAGGGCAATGGTAAAGTTGGCTAATTTCCTGGTGCACAGAACTCCCCCAAGCAGAGCTGTGACAGCTGCTTTCACCTCTGCATTTCTTAGGCTGTAGATGATGAGGTTCAGTGAGGGTGTCATGACTGCATAAAACAGTGTGATAATCTTATCCACATTGGGATTCTTTGCCTTAGGCTTGAGGTACATAAAGTAGATGGTCCCATAGAAAATCACCACCACTGTGAGGTGTGCAGAGCAGGTGGAGAAGGCTTTGCACCGGCCTGAAGCAGAGGGAACCCGAAAGATGGCAGCCAGGATGAAAATGTAGGAGAGGCAGATGAGCAAGAGAGGGGTCACTGTCAGGATGGTTGTAGCCACCATCAATACCAGGG